AACTAATTCATATTATTAAAACATCTAAAATACAAATATGTATTTTTAAAATTAATTCTAAGTTCATCTCATCTCTCTTAAAAATTGCTTCTTCTCAAAATTTCCCATTAAAAAATAGACCATATACCATATAAAATAAAATAATTGAAAGATCGGGCTACGGAAAATCACACAAATTTTCGGAAAAATTTTGACCACCTGCATACGCAGACAATCGTCAATTAAAAAAAAACTACTATTTTAGTATTTTAAATATTTTAATAAACGCAAAAATAGCACAGTATTTATAAGGCGAAGTTATAAAAATTTGGAAGAACTAATAATGCACTCACGCACACAAAAATCAAACGAATACTAAATTTCATTTATCAAAAGCATTCTGATAGTCGTGGCTCAACGATAACCATTTAGTCGCACGGCGAGGTTGTCACATATGCTTTTAGTATACAAATGAATGATGATTTTATTCGAATAAAACCATTCGATAGTTGAAATCATTCATTCAGTAACCATTCGATAGTCTAATTCATTCGATAGTTCCCATCGCTAGTTTGGACCACCCTGTATAATATAGTTTATTATACATACTTTTGTTATTTATCTCTCCACGATATTACATACTAATTCTATTTTTGTAAATAGCTTAAGCTATTTAGACTCAAAAATAAAGAATCACTTTAGAAAATGTGAATGATATTTATAGGGTGAATGATATATAGTTTTTGTCTCATCAAGCTAGGGAGCCTCATACATTCTATTATGCTCTAATCATCTAGGTGGCAGAAATATAGAATTTTATGTTAGTATCACAAATTATATTTGACAACAAGCTTCATAAAAAGCTTAAAAAAATAATAAATTTTAAATTAATCAACGTTGAAGTCTATTTTTGATTGATGTTCTATTAAATCGTAAATTATGTGCAATTAACTTATTTTGCTTCAAAAAATACGTAGTTGTTCTGTTGTCCACAGAATATTCAAACGCTCTGTATATTTTGTAGGTCTGCTCTGGAAAAAAAATTATCGAAAACTATGCGATGTGGCGTTTTTTTACAAGAGGTAAAAAATGTAGTAAATACTAGAGGGACCATTTACGAAGATCGGTGGGGTTAAAAAATATTTCTACTAAAATTTATGCAGGGGTGGTTTTCACTATTCCCGTACTTTTTTCTTGAATTTTGTGAAAGTCAAATGTTAAAGCCCTTAGTAAAACATAGTTACCCAAAATCTTATTCAAATCGGAGTAATGGTTCTTAAAATATCTTTCTAAAATGTGTTTATTTTTTAAAGCTGATGCCCTCTAGCGGACAAACGAAGCATTTTGTACAGAGGTAAATTGTGTCCAATGAACTTATTTTGATTCTAAAAACACGTAGTAGTTCTACGTCTACGGAATATTGGGACACCCTGTATATGCATTTGGATTTTTATAAAAACTTCTTACGAATTCATATAAATTCTGATTCAATTTAAACGCCGCCATAAACCAAGGTGTTTGTGACTAAAATTATTAGGTGGTTCCTGGTAAGTTTGGTACTGTCCCCTGTACGCGAGGGCAGGGGTACCATCGACCCACGGCTGGTGAATTTACCGTAGTCAAGGCGACCAGGATCTATTACGTCATCGTAGCGCTCGCCGTTTTCGCGAGTCTGCGAAATGAAATGTCTCTCTCAATGGTTGGCTCAAGGCTGTCTCCTTATAAGAGCCTTTAACAATGCTTCTGTATTTTTTTATCCTGTCATTTTGTCGATCTGCCTACGGTTTATGTAGTTCTTGGTAGAAGTACCATATGATCGAATAAAAAACGGCGTCAAAGACGCCTGGGGAATGACAATCGATGATAAGTTTGGTGAGGTCAAGTCCTAGACGTCATTACTTGGCCCAAACTCTTCTTTATTTTTTAATAGCGTTCACTACCAGTTGGTTTGGTAGAAGGTTATATCGAGTAAAAGTAGGTATATCGAGTAAATGGTGTAGTTTAAAATTTTAAAAAATATATATTTTCTTGTAAATATATTTTATCTATCGATTTATGTATGTCTAACGTTTACACACATCCTTTTTTAATCTCTCTATAACTCGTGCTAATTTTAACAAGTATTGTGTGAATTTTTAGTAAATAACGTCTAGAGATTAACCTCGCTAAAATTTTCATCTAGGTACTGTCATTTCCCAGCTGTCTTTGTCGCTGTTATTTTATTTGTAAATTTTTATGAAGAATGTCATTTCGAAGCCAACTCCATAGGGTTTTCATAAATATTTAGCGTGATTCCTGCAAAATTACCTATTGGAGGTAGTAAGAAAACTTTAAGTAAAGGAGTTTTATCTGAACCGCGAGAAAGTAAAATAAAACTACAGACAACCATTATCATCTAGCAGTAATAACCTATGCATGCGAAACCTAGATACCTAAGCGGATATTATAAGAAAACTGCAGGTCGCACTACGAACTCAATAGAACAAAATATGCTGGGAATAACCAAGACAGACCGTAAAAGAATAGAGTAGATACGACAAAAGATTCAGGTAATAGATATAGATGTCCATCCACAGAATAAAATCCCTCAAGCGGCAATGGGCAGAACACCTGGCATGAAGGACGGACAACAGATGGACCACAAAAATTACAGCATGGAACTCACAAAGAATTAAAGACCTAAAAGGAAACCAAACCTGAGATGGGACCGTGATATTAGGAAATTAGCAGGGATAAGTTGGGACCGCAAACCGAACAATAGACAACAATGAGCTCAACTACAAAGAGAGTATCTCTGAATATGTGAGGGAGGCTACATCATAATTGAAAATGGTTGAATAAGCTGAAAATGATAAGGATGATGATGATGACAGACGATCAGAAAGTTAAGAAAATAATATATTTTCACTTTTATTTAGAGATATATAAAACAACCTGTATATTTCATGTTTTTGAGAGGTCTTTCTTTCGATTTCAAACATATACATACTATAGTTTGTCCTATATTTGTCTGAACCATTTTAGAATTATTTTGGTTCATTTAAGTTTCCATTTTTCAGTTTTTGCTTATCTGTCAGGCCGATCTATCTAATGCCGATCAGCCTTTTGGCATTCTTGGTAGTGAAAAGAAGCTGCAAGTATTCAATTTTAAGAGGTTATTCCTTCGATAAAAAAGTCGTTCGGTTCGGCTTCGCTATGATGTACCAACTTTTAAATAAATATATAATAATGTTGGCATTCAAAGCCAATCGGAAAAGTTTCCATCACTCCGTCTTTGGATTTCGGCCTGTGCCGATCGGCAAAAGCCGACAAATTGAAACGCGCATTAAGATATGCCTGTTACTAATGTTAAGGCCCACTATGCATTTTTCGTTGTTCCGGTTGCATTGATTAAACTAGAATAAATGAAAAACGGTTCAAGCAAATATAGAGATACTAATATAAACTTTATCAATCCTATACATTTAAATTATTTTGGATTAATCAATGGATCCGCTGCCCTACAAAATGCATAAAGTGTGCCTTGGACGCAATTGTTATAGTTTTTTATCAGTGACAATTGGACTGTTTGGGGCTCTTAATTTCACCACTGTCTTTGTCGTAACGTCGTCTCTTTTCCGTAACTTCGTCTTTTTCCTAATTTTCTCATTGTCTTCATTTTTATATCACTTTTTGGCGGCATAAAAAAACCTTAGATGTCCCACATGTAAAGTTTTTTACCACATAGTTCGATGGTAAGTCTGCAGGTATCGCACTCTATATAACTGAAAACGTCTGTGCACCGTTTTTTTCGACCACACTGTTTCTTTCTTCAAAATATTCAAATTCTTCATATACAAATTCGAAGGACAAACAATAAATTCAAAATGGCTCAAAACGAAATAAATGATAAAATTACCAACAGATATTCAGGCTGGGGCGACAAACGTCATATCAAAACTACTTCCGTTTAAAACCCAATAACTTATGAAAAGGAATACAAAAAATTTCAAAAATGGAAGCAATTAAAAAACGTGCGAGAAGAAATAAAGTTTTTAACCTATCCTCGCTGTTAAAGTATCATCTGATCTACCCTGGCGGTTAAAGTACTATTTTATCTACTATTTTTGATAGATAAAAATATAAGGCAATTTTAACAGTTGCTATGAAAAAAAAAACTATTTCATACTTGTGTTGATGAGGACCAAAAGCAAAGACAGACACACTTTGCGCACACGCTTTGCGCACACGCTTTTAATGCTAAAATTGATGTGAATCGTTACTGCCTCTTTCAACAGCGAATATCTCCAACAAAAATAAAGATATCGAGATGAATGAAAACAACTATCGTGAAAAGAAACACCCTGAAGACAAAGTGGTTTTTCAGACAGAGTATTTCAAAGTTTCGCCAAAAAACATGTTTATTTTCCCTCGTATAAAAATCATCAAAATCTGCCCACTGGAACAAAATGTCTTGAACTTTGAAATGTGTACATGAAACTTTTAAAATGTTTTTCGTTTTTTTTTCAGTGTAGATGAATTGACAGGAATAGAAAATAAGAGGCATTTTCATTGTATAAAACACGCATTAAAACTGTAAATTTAGTGCCATTAATAGTTTTGCAATCAAGTGTTTATTGGATCCTTCCGTAAATTTACTTTAAAGAGGCATAAATTCCGTTTACCTTGAAATTATTAGATAATTATATTCTAAAATGGGAAAATTTCTTTTATTTATAGCCAATATGATAATGAAAAAATCTTTTTTAATACGTATGCTATTTTTACACTTTTTTTATTAAGCCTTTTTACTTAAATATAAAATTAAATAACACAAAATTTAGGCACTCAAAACATTAATCAGTGATTCTGAAATATACTGCAAGTTAATCAAATGCTAATCTTAAGATGTTTTTCATTTTTAAACTAAAAACTAAAACATCAGCTGTTTATACATTACATAATATGTTTTCTATTTAACGTTTTGGCACAGGCCGAAGTTATTTATTATCACTTTAATTCCAAACATCATATTTTGATATAAATTCCGACACGTGCGTAACTGTTGCTATTTCTAGGTCGTACCACCTTACTGGAAAATATTCACTTCCATACCGTTTTGGGCATTGTGCATTCTGCATTTTGGTAATTTATGGGGATTGTACCTTCAAATCACTGGAGTACCAAAATTCATGGTAGAGGTCATCGGATTTAATATCAAGGTAAATTGTTGAGATATTTTTGATGTATAGGTTTAGTGCATTTTCCGCCGGTGCTGCCACCATCGGAGAATATCGTAAAAAAATGATATATAGGGAAATTAAAATAACTTTGGTTGCACATCATAATACGACCACCAGCAAACTCCATAAGACGACGCATGGTGTCATTGATAACGTGCAACGAAAGTTGTTTTAATTTCCCTATAGGTTGTTCACCACATACGACACGGAGTATTGTAGCTAAACGATTAGATTTTTACAAATTGCTTTTTCACAAGCTTTGGGTTCGTTGAAGGACTATTAGAGCTACAATTTAAAAATATTTTTACAAGATAGAGAGTGTCCCAAATAAATAAAAAATATCAAAGTTGTATTTTTTGAAACACTCTGTATATTATTACATTTTTAGTTTCTACGATTAAAATAAACGATAAAAGTTTATTACACTTAAACCTTACCGTTTTTGAAATGTTTTCTATTTTGTGAAATTGCGGTCAAAATTTTAAGGCTTCATTTCTCCAAGGGTATCAAAGTTTTTTATACTAAATATTTACTGAAGTTTATTTATTGATCAGTTATTGTGTTGCAATAATAAAAATTATACTACGTTATACAGTGTCTAAAATTTTATTTTATATAATGACTAGCTTTAAACGGCAATAACTTGTTTCATTTAAATGGAACACCCTGTATATTTTATGAGAATCAGATGCACAGTTTAATCGTCTATCAAATTGTATTACACCATTTTTACCTATCTCGTCAAGTTTCCGTAGAAAATGCATTTTCTTGTAATTCAAAATTCATTTATCAATATACCCATGGAATACTGACATTTTAGATTATTTTTAAAGATGTACCAAATTTTTAAAGAGTACAGATACTAATATTGTCGATATAGTTTGTTTATTTCATTAAAAAATTAAAAAAATGTTTAAATATTTGTTAAAGAGGACCAATTAGTATGATTCCAGTATTCAACCTACATTAATTGACTGTTTGCGTTGATTAAGGATAATTGCCAAATATAAAAAACTGAATTTTGTATGTGTGTTAGACAGTGTGGTAAAAAGTAACACCTAAAAATGATATATCATATTTTTGACAAATGCTTATTTATAACAACAGAGACATTCATTTTCATAACTTATTATTATATTGATTTCTGAAAGTAACCAAACCAAACCACATCAAATCCACATTTATTTAGAATAATTTATTAACGAACATAATTAAGTATGTAATTAATTAGTATTTGGGCGGAAATATTGGTGGTATATTTAATTAATGGTATACTCTTTTATAAAGATTTAAATAGAAAAAAAAATATAAATTTCTTTTTGTATACAAAGGGGCTAGTATATTACTATTTTGCTAAAAACCATTTTTACTAGCCTCTACATTTTGTACATTTGTTGCTTTAAAAACAATCTAAAATGTCAATATTCCATGGGTATATTGATAAATGAGGTCTAAATTATAAGAAAATGCATTTTCTACGAAAACTTGAAGGGATAGGTAAAAAGTGGTATGATACAATTTGATAGACAATTAAATTGTGCATCTGATTCTCCTAAAATATACAGGGCGTTCCATTTAGATTAAACAAGTTATTGCCGTTTAAAGCTAGAAATAATTTAAAAAAATGTTTAGACACTCTGTATGAGGTAGTATTATTTTTATTATTGCAACACAATAACTGATCAATAACTAGACTTCAGTAAATATTTAGTATTAAAAACTTTGATACCCTTGGAAAAATATCAATAATCAGCCTTAAAATGTTTGCTGCAATTTCACAAAAGAAACTAAAAATAATGTAATAATATACACGGTGTTCCATTTAAAATAATACACTTTGATATTTTTTATTTATTAAAATACAGGGGTTTAAATAGCAAGTATACAAAAAATTTATTTTATAATTATTCTAAAAGTGTTAGGAAGTATAATTTGTCAAAATTCTAAAAGTAAAAATGAAAATATAAATATTTTGATATCTTCAGAAGGTCTAACTTGTATTATAATTTATTATTCCACTAAGAAAACTTTTTCGATGAGTTCAACTACGGTAGCGAGCATAGTTTTACGCACTGTTTTTGCTAGTGGGGTCATAATTGGGGCTATTTCGGCTATAACAAAATTTTTTAAAGGTCCATAATTATAATTTTAAAAGATGTTCATAAAACACGTAATTACTAGTTGATTAAAAAAAATATAGCATTAATATTGCATATTATATTTTGTCCTCTCATAGTATTACGTCTATTTAATTTTTTGATTGTTTAACGGGCACTTTGTTTACTCACTTGTTTCGTCGAACTGCTTGAATCCATTTTTGCTTTTGATCAAATGGGTTTGGTTTGGTTATAAAATGTTTCGGGAGTCTTGAATATCTGGGAAAGTTGAGTTATTGAATGTTATTGCACCCAACAACGCCCTAATTACACTCTCCTTTACGCGATAACATCTTTTCGGCAACATTTGAAATTGCCACAACACAGCACGACGCCTAGTTGGGAATCTTATTCACTTATTTTTTACTACGCGAAACAGCGTTACATCACACAAATCTCGTACCTGAGTGTTTTACAGTTTCAACTACTGCACTAGCAAAAAGCAAAAATACTTAATATTATGACAAAGCCACGATTTCAATATTATTTTAATGCGATCCACATGAACTGTAACCGGGACGGCGCACAGTGCTTCGAACATATGGCTCTAGAGGACAAAAATCCAAAACTTCTCTTTTATTGTAAGCAATTTATTCAAACTAGGTTTATTTGACACATATGATGAGTACTCTCATTGTACTAAATGATGATGTTCTTAGTCCCGCGTTTATGAAAAAAAATCTTATAAATAATAATAATGTTGGAGCTGTGTTCCATCTAAGCAAATAATAAGTTATAGTATGAAAACGGTGTAAGTATTAAATAAATTCCTGTGATAAAAAAAAAATTGAAATAACATTAGAACATGATTCCTACAATATAAGCCTAATATAAGATAAAAATGTTTTTCTTTAATGAAAAAGAAACATTAATGTTATATTTAATTAAAAAAAAACTTAAGATACTATAAATTTACTTTAGGACAACAAAATGCATAGATCGTAACTACTCTGATTCAGGAGAATCACTGCTGACAGAATCTTCCAAATTTATAGTATCCAAATCACAGGTAGATGAAGTATCCTCACATATAATATATTTCTGTACATCATTTTCTAATATGTTACTTTTTCCCGTTGTTACTGTTCATTTTGTCGGTATGAGGGGTTCGGATGTTAATAGTTACCTCTTTAATAGACCATATCCATATATTATTTTTTCCTTTTCTTGGGTATAACATTTTATAATAAATTGAAAGATGGACATTTTTTTTATGCGACGTTTCGCTCCAACATAGTGGACTTTTTCAGGCACAAGTGGTGTCTCATTTGACTGGAAGGTTCATCAATATCTAATAAGAACATATTTTTTGAAATACAAATAATTTTGAGTTCTTATCCTTATGATCAAGCCAAGTATTAACCAGATCGGCATTGCTTATCAATTTTACTCCATCTGAAAAGTATTATAAAATAAAGTTCGTCGCAAGCAGACGCAGGTGAACTATACAAAAAATAAAAGTGTATGAATATGGCAACAAAAATATTCAATAAATACGATATGTTTTAATATGTTTTTTTTTAAATGCCTTTTTGAAGTTTGAAAACGTAAAATTTTTATACCCATTTAAGAATCATCTTAAAATAAATAAAAACTAAACAATCACGAACTTGTTTAGAAATAAATTTAAAGTACATACCTTGTTTAACAATATCCATAGTGGCTTTCAATTAAGTACGTACCCGTTTAATTCCGTAATATACAGAACTACTATGAATGTTATTCTTTTCACTGATGAGATAATGATCGCAAAATTTATTTTTAGTGAAAATATTTGCTAACAAAAATGCTGTTTATGAAAAATAATATACAGGATGGTTGAACATTGCTATAAGTATAAAATTATATATTCAGATATTAGTAAATTTTAACTTATTTTTTGATTTTTGTCCATGGGACGAAGCACTGTGCGGCGGCGGCGGCGGCGCGGCGCGCGGCGTGATATACATACCGAAAATTTCTGATTTCTGCCGTATACAGCGCTGCGGTCGGAATTTTTTGAAATCAACTGAAATGCACCAAACCTATACCTCTAGATTAACTTACTTACATTATAGGCTTCTGGTGGTTTAGCCGCTTTACCCCATCTTCTCAGAATGTTTTTCGGAATAGGATTTGGATACATAGGCGACAAAATCAAGTCGAAAAAACTAATAGGCACTACTTTAACCAGAAAGCTTTTTGTAATTTTCTGTAAGTCAATATTATCATTTCGTTTAAACCAAATATCTAAATTTCAATTAAAAATTTTAGCTCATATTGTCCCAGGAATACTGCTGATGTGCATGACATTAGTCAAATGTGACTACATAGGAGCTGTTCTTATATTAATCTTCAGCATGTCCATCAATGGAGCAGCTGTAATAACCAATTTACAGAATGCTCAAGACTTGGCACCTAACTTTGCCGGAACTATTTTTGGAATTATCAGTTTGATAGGTGGTACTACTGGTTTTATAACACCAGCAGTTACAGGAGCATTAATGGCAGAAAATGTGAGTTTGGCGGAACATAGGAAATCCTATTTAAATTTTGAAAAAGTGAAATATTATCTCCCCAGATGATTTTATGCAAAAATGGGGTCTTTCACTATATTTTGGAATTAGCATAATTAAATAAAGCAATTAATTCTAGAATTTTCTGCTATCTCACTTTCGAAAAATTTGAAGTCGTTCTTAAGAAAATAAATAAAAACAAAAAAGCCCAGAATAAAAATCCGCACTTTATTTTTAATACGTCACACCTGGCATGTTGAAAAGCGGCAACACGGCCGGGCCACCATGCTGACCCACCACCATCTCCACACAAGGCCATTCAACCTTTTCCAATATGGCGGAGTTAGAAGTGCTTTATTTGACGCGTATTTTAAAAACTGTTTTATTTCCAAATAGACATTTTTCACACAAATATCGGGTTAGATTACGTAACATTTCACTAATTTTTATAATATACAGGGAGTCTAAAGCTCTCCACATAAGTATGGAATTTTTTGTATTATTACTTTTATGAAAACATCAGTTAGTTACTTTTTATAAAAAGGTCTGCTTTCTCAGAAAATAGGTAGGTAGTGTACTAGTGTGTAAATATTCAAACTTGAAGTAGCATATATAGGGTGTTCAAAATCATCGGAAAAAGAAATAACCAGAAATATATAACAGAAAATAGGCAATGTAAACTAAATATTCAATTGCAAACACTTAACTACCATAGTTTAAAATTTACTGCACGTTTGATAAATATATACTATTATGGACAGTATAGGAAGTTACTTGTCTTAGTAAAAGCCTTGGTAAATGCTCTTGGAATTATAAACTACACTGGCTTGGGTCAAAAAATATGGAATATTTTTTCTATGTTTTGCAGCATTACACAAATGGGAATAAATTTAAACTATAATAGGTGAGGATAACTAAAAAATATAATATGTGTTTCAAGATTTTATATAGAAAAAAACTAGATAAATACCTTTTTATAACCTTTTTATAACGACTTTTTTTGCATAGTTCTTCAATAAAATATTGGATATTCTGAACAAGATGGATTTAATAATAAATTCTGACGTATGTGAGGGGCAATTGTGACTTAAAAAAAGACTTACATCAAGGCAGGCCATTTATATTTTCAAATGTGAATGTTGTCAATATCTTTCTGTGATCTTTTTGATGTAAAAGCTTGATTATTCTTCCAATATTTTACTTATAGTGAGGTAAGTGTAAGCAGTAGCCATAACTACATCCTCACTAGGGTAACAGAGGCTTTGGCCTTTGGCCTTTTTGAGGCATATTTAATGCACTTCTTACCCGAGAACAACTAGTAGGAGTGAAATTATCTTTTTTAATAGTTGTCAACTATTTTTTACGAAGCTCGTCATTTTTGGGGAATATAAAAGCAGAAACCTTGGGACCCCCTCTATAATTCTCGTGACAATTTGGAACAGAGCATGTAAAAGGTATGCTACAATAAAATGTTAATACCTATCTTTTGATTATTGTAAGTAACTATTATAAAGTACTATGCAGACTGGCGGTGAAGGCATTTTACTCATTTAGGTGTAATATCTTCATAAATACTTCTAGTTCTTACCTTAAAATAATTAATAATAGAGGAGTACGACAAGCACAAAAGTTTGAAGTTCCCTATGTGGAATCAATCTGGTTTGGATTTTTATTACTGTTATTTTATCACAATTTTCTGATCACACCATGCACTGAACACTAAGAAATAAACAAACGTGTTGCAGAAGCACAACAAACTAGAGATAATTAATTATTTCTGGTATGCAATCGGAACGAGAAACCACTATCGGCTTTTCAGGTTAAAGGTAAACAATTTAATAATGCGCTGCCTTCTCGCCATATTTGCCTTGCCCATATCATGTTGATTGGCCTTGAGTTGAGGTGGTGCTGGTCAAATCAAATCGCAATGTTGCCAGTTGTTGGCTGGCGCACGAGCACGGTTCTGCAATGTGATTGGGCGTATTTTTCATACGTCATCAATTGGCGCTTTAAAATTATTTCAAATTAAAGCAATTTGAGGGCCTATAAAAAAGTTATTCAATGTCATGGAACTATTTTTTATGGATAAATATACTGAAAATAGTCTTCTATTTCAGATTTTATCCTTGAATTGGGTATATAATTTTTTGTGAAAGAGCCCATTGTATTGGATTTTTTTGAAGAGGCGTTAAAGTTGTACTATATTCTAGAATTTCGGTTTATTTGGAATAGGCATCTAAAAGTTATTTGCAAAAATCTACCTTCAAATTACTAAAAATTTATAATACGGCCCAGAGAAAGCTACAATTAAAATACCAGCAAAAATATGATTTTGTCATTGTCAAATTCGATGTCCAATTTTTTTTGTTTATAAGAATTTCTGTGGTTTGAAAAAGGTGATTAGTTTTTTTTTAATTGCAATGATCATCTACAGAAAAATTAGTTGAACTGTGAATAGTATGCGCGGTGTATGACTTGTTTGTTCTTTTATTGTTGTATTTTAAATATGTATGTAGTATAATTTAAATTAATATAATGCAACTTTATAATAAGAAAACATTTATACATTCACAAAATACAACAAAGCCTAATAATATAGTTTGAAAACAATGAATATTGAATTAAAATTAAAAAAGTTAAGCGCGACCCCTTGTGTCAAAATTAGATGATTAAATTTTCGCAATTTTTACACCATTGATGACCGGTGGGCCACCGGTCCGGTGGCGCCTCTAGTGTTTGTTCGGGCGGTTGGTCTTTTACTCCCGCTTATGGCCATTAAAGAAAAAGTTCTAAAGAGGGATGTTTTGTGCAAAAGTACTCTGTTTTGCACCTTCAAATTTTTGTAAACAAAATGTTACATTGGATTTGATATTAACACAATAACATTTTTGCTGGTATTTTAATTGTAGCTTTCTCTGGGACGTATTATAAATTTTACTAATTTGAAGGTAGATTTTTGCAAATAACTTTTAAATGACTCTTCCAAATGAAAGGAAATTCTACACAAAAGTACAACTTTAACGCCTCTTCAAAAAAGTCTAATACAACTTTTGCATAAAATCATCTGGGGAGATAATATTTGACCTTTTCAAAATTAACATGGGATTTCCAATGTCCCGTGTTTCGATGCAACACACGGTATAGTATTTGATTAGGGTTTTAACGTGACTATCAGCCCTATCTGCCTGTTTCAGTGCGATCTTTTCAGATCTATAGTGGTCCTTGTATTTTCTCTAGATTACGTTGCATTCTAATCCTATCCTTTTCAAAAACCTAATAACTTGGAGACTGAACTGAACTGTAGTGTACTTAAAAATTATCATTTTTCTTTTTGAGTAGACTTTAATTAAACTTTAATTAATACTATTTTAACTATTTTTGTAGAACGGTATACACGAATGGTCCCAAAACTTTATTATCGGAGGCAGCGTCTACGTTGGATGTGGATTGTTCTTCATATTATTCGGAACATCCGAAATGCAATCATGGAACAGTAAAACTCCTGTCAAAGATACTGAGGAAGGAGTCTCATTCAAGGAAGTTGACGAGCAGGACGATGAGAAGCAAAAACCAAACGAAACAACCAAATTAAATTCGTAGACTGTTAAGTTGTGCATTTTTGTGTGAATGTATTTAGTGTGAAATAGTTTAAAGTATAAATTATTTTTAATAATAATATAAAGACTTATTATTTTTATTTAACGTGTTTTATTCAGTATTTTTTCACTCTTCGAACTTCCAGTGGATGACGTACTAAGAATGTCCAAGCAGCATTTGGACGTCGGGACAACGTTGTGTCACGCGACCAAACGTCGGGGCGCAACGTCGGCACAACCTCGTGCCAACCCTAGTCCGCACTATTTTGGAGAATAATTTTTGGGTCGAAACGACGTTGGATACCTACGTTGGCTAGCAGCCTAATTTAGTACAAACTGCAACGTTGTTTAAAATCTTAATTCACAGAAATACAAAACTATAATAATATGGCGTCTAAGTCGCGTTTTATCCTAAATTGGGATAATTATAGTAAAAATATTATTTTTATGATTTAGTTAGAGACATATATCAGATGGCAGTAAAGGAAAACAAAACAAAAGTATTTAAGTGTGGCGGATGTTTAAAGATCATAACTATTGAAACACTTTAACCAACTCGATCTGTAACTCGTTACCCAAGGCAAAAAATTTAAACGTAAACAACTTTATTGATAAATGTATTGTTTCTGCTTTGAAAAATACTAATGGGCCTTAAAATTAAAGAAGTTTTAAAAATTTTCTTGAATTATTTTTTTAGTAAAATGAGAATAATTTATTTGCAGTCGAAAAAAAATTGTTTCTGCATGTTGTTTAGGGTCAAATATTTCAAGTTAATGTACTCAAAAAGCAGGAATTGGTATTTTAGGAACCAAACATTTTCTTATTCAACAACATGGCGGCTTTCACTTTGTTGTTTTGGAGATTAAGATGGAGTAGTTCGAGTACTCGCATACTGGACTAATAAAGTCGCAGTTCAGCCTTAACAGGTAGTATACTAGTCGCAAGATTGCCTAATTTAGTCATCCTAGACTCTAGCTTGTGCCGCCCTCTATATTCTAAATAAACGAGGGAGTGGATAATGTATCGGTAATATGTCGATGTATATTTAAATTTAGTTTTATATGTGCCTTTTTTACGTCCCATTTTAATTATGTTTTTTTTTATAAAAACAAAAACAGCACTGGACTGTCTGACTGAACAGAACAATGAAGTGAAAATTTAAGATTTAAGGTTATGGTTCAATACAGTTGCAAAAAGGTAGTGGCTCGACGTCCTACCAACGTAAGAATAAGGAAATCTAAACAAGGTTGGAATTAGTAAAAGAGACGACGTTTGCGCAACGTTGGAATAGGTCCTGAAAGTGACGTCGGAAAACTCTTTATTGCCCAACATTGTAACTACGTTGTCCGAATCACCTAAAAATCACTTAAGCAAAAAAGGTTACAAGACAACGTTTATTCGACGTCGCAGAAGCTTTTACTTTGTTGTAGTACTAGTTCAACGTCGGCACAACGTCACAATAACGTTTACATTTATTTTAATACCCAAGGTATGGAGCTAACTATTTTTTGTAACTAATCCAACGCTGTGTTTAGTAAACATGTGGTCGCAAGTCGTGAAAATGCTACTTGGGAGGTTGTTTCTTGGTTTCTTTACTCTCCCCTTTTCGGAGGAGTGTTTTCGCTTTTGCTTCCTCTGGAGCAAGTCCTTCGTGGAGCAGTCGGAGGTATCTCCATGCTTCTACTCCGCTAAGACCTACTCTCAGAGGACCGTCTAGCCCGCCTGGTTGACCCAGGCCAGAAACACCAGAACACCTCATCACTGAGTGCGCCAAAATGACAGCCATTCATGCCATAAACTTTGGAACGACTGATGTCGGAGATAGAGAACCAACCTCTGTAAAACCATCTCAGATACTAGCTTTTATCAACGCCCTGAAACTGTACGATGAGTTATAACTCAAGAAAGAGGGACCAATCTACATCTACATTCAGTATCTTCTAAAGAAATTATACAAAATGCAAAAATAAAAACATTATAGAAAATATTCAGTACTAAAAATGATTAAACATACATATTATCATAAATAGAAAACTACAATGAATTTAAAAGATATCGATTATATCGCCAATAATAATCGCTTACTATTGTGTTTTAAAACTGCAATATTGCAACTCTTAAATGATTTATTAAACAATGAAACAATGACTCTATTGTGATCCAGACGATATGCTAAATTTTACAAAAGAATTATAGTAGTTGAAAGACTGTTGTCAAAGGTTTACATTGACATAATTTGACTTTGATATAATTTTTGTCAAACGGGTTAAAAAAATATGCGGTTCTAAAGTACCTACAACTACAAAAATAGAGTATAACTTAAAAACTACAGTTATACTCTTAAAATGGGTAAGTTATTTAACTAATTTTCAATAATTTTATTACATATTTTGGATAACAATATTCTTTCCTTTTTAGCTTGTGCGTGTATACCGATTCGTTACTACATAATTGCTATGGTCTTCATAACGACGTATATAAATTACACTACAAGAAGCAACATGTCTATTAGTCTTCCAGCCATGGTACAGCAGAAAGGTAAAAAGGCTTCTATTCCAGAATGCAAAAAGGACGATCCAGCTTCTTACAACAAATCAGTATCTGATGTAAGTGTATTCGACCATGAAAGAGTAATACAAAAAAATTATTACAGTTCTATTAAAAAATAATTTATAATTAACATAATTTTGTGAAAATCCACCAAGAAATAAGACACTAACGTCCAATGGTTAAATAACTTTTTGTGATTTTCTTGTATGGTTCCGATGGTACCTTTTTTGAATGGCGTTTATGAAGAACCGGTAATATTTTTTTTTGAAAATTTTGATTTTTACATAAAGGAACCTGCTAGTAACTACTATAATATATTATCTACACTATGTAAAATATTGAGCGCGTTTAGGGACGGTCAGGAATTTGGAATCGGCTCAGGTTGGGTCACTGCTAATTCTCCCATTCTTTCCTTTTAAAAGGCGACCCCCCGCCTAACTTTGTGGCAACCAATTAACAGTGTACCACCTCCTAATAGAATGTCCAATTAGAATTTTTTCCAATAGAATTTGGACCAAAAACTCGTAATACAAAACTAAAGTGTCTAAATAAATGTGGCAACTTGACATTTTTTACTGCAGAGGTACTTGCTGAATCATCAGCGGGAAATTTAAATTCCAGTTAGTCAGCCCGGCGGCTAATATGCCCATGGTTGGCAACAATGAATTTAAAAATCGCGGCCTCGATTACGTTACTAAAAATGATCTTGAATAAGCATTGGTAAAATCATAAATTGAACATTTTTAAAGTTGAAATTAGGGTTATATATGTAAACGAAAGTCGATTTATTCGATCTATAAATCAATGGTTATTTAATTATGGCTTAAATATATGGTTATTTAACCAACGCTTATTGGGGAAGATCATATTTTTGTCAATTTTACAAATGTTTTATTTTTTATCTCACAAAATATTACAGATAGGTACAGATTAGCATAAGAAAAAAAATTATGGGATATGAAAATAGTTTCGAAAAAATGTAATAATTTAACAGGTATTTCATTTAAACTATCAAAGATGCTACCACTTTTAGTACGAAGCGGCAACACTGTAACGTTGAAAAAATTTAGAAAGATGGAGCAGGTGCCTTTATGCAAAAATCCAAATTTTCAAAAAAATCTTATCACTGGTTCTCCATAAATGTCTGACCTTAGATCATATATACTTACGTGGATAAGTAAATCACTATGGAAACTGTCGCAAACATACCAACGGCTTCCATTTATCTTCTTTTTTTGTTGCACACGCCGTCCTTCTACTCTATCTATCCTTGTCAAAGACCTATCGTCGGCGCGCCAAAATTTGAACATTAATTTTAAAAATTTAATTTGTAAAATGCTTATATTTGAACAATAAATTGAATATTTACTGTCATAAAAATTAAATTATATAAAAAATACATTTAGCCACTCCGTACGAATATCAATATTCTTAGGAAATCTAACCAGAAAGTATGCATGTGGCTTAATATAAATAAAAGAACAATTGAATACTTTAGTTGCCTATGAAAAGATAATTCGGGGACCTTTATATCACACACTAAACACTTTCTAGTCATTTTTACGAGTAGGTATTTAGAAAGTCCAACGAAAAAAAGAATAGAAATATAATTGCACAAACTTAAAATTAACTTCTCACTTCTCACTGAACACACTTGCATCCTTGGCTATATAAAAGCGGTCGATAAAAGAATAATTAATACAATTTTTAAATTAAAAAACGCTACAAACAAGCGTCGTTACATAATGGAAATAAAATTATGACATATGATTATGACAATATGATGACAGTGAAAAGTTGGTTTCCATAACAATGTATAATTTGTACTTTCTATACCGTATAAAATTGTGATTATTTTGGAAAAACTTTTAATGCGCATGCGCAAAGTAAGGTGTTCGAGAAAGACAAACCCATTGAACGTTTCATAAGTGCAATAAAGAAGGTTTGAAAATGGCATGTCGTGATGTTGGAGACATATTTTTTAATGCTAAACTTATTGCGTTGATTTATCCACGTAAGTATATGATCTAGGTGTCTGACGGACCATGGCCGTGAATCAGCCTGTATTTCGGTTGATCTGTTTATTAGACAGGAACAAAATACGACTGGAACGAAAACGTGCAAGGTCTAGTACTCGGGGCGTACTTCTATGGATATTTGATAGGAAATATACCTGCAGGAGTCATGTCAGAATGGATAGGACCGTTTAAAACGCTGTTTGCCGCAACCCTGCTAGCCGGAATATTCAACAGCGTGTGCGTGTGGGTCACTCCGATCCATTGGGGAGCATTGTTTTTCGCCAGATTTATAGTTGGAGCTACAGGGGTGAGTTGGACACATCTTGTCAAACTGTCATTTTTAGTGATTAAGATCTAAATACTGTTCGGTGATCTTTCAACGTTACAACGTCATCAACATCTGTTATCAAATATGCGGGTTAGGTGTGTCTAAGATTTATTTAAATGAGAAATTTTAAGCACGTTCCTAAATTATTAATTAAGCAAGTTCCGTTTTTATTCATTTCTAGTAGGTATCTTGGACCTTTATTCATTTTAAATTCATTTCATTTCATAATTTTTAACGCATGTTCGACAAAATCCTTGACAGTGATAGATGCAATGACTAAAGAATACAAGGACATGTAAAGCTCATGTACGGGCTGCAGCAGAATTTGTGACCTTAGACGCCATTTTCTTTGGAAGCAACGAATGAGTCATCAGCGACAATTTTAGCGATTTTTAATAGTTTTTTGTGTTAGTGAACTTTGTATAAACTCTATTACAATGGTAATTTGTTCAGCTTTCAAGTGTAAAAGCACAAAGAAGAAAGAAAGAGCCAGGAGTTATTACGTTTGTAGGGGAAATATACAGTCCACTCCGCCTTTTTAGCGGTTTTTTTATTGAATTTGATAATTATTTTTGCTATACGTTGATACTAGTTTTGTACCTTTTTTGTTAACATTTTAATACGTTTTTTTTCGTAATTAATTAGCATGATACCACTGAATACACCATAGGCGTAGTAAAAACATTTATCAAAAATATAAATATCGCTTCAAGCGGTAATGTTAAGAAAATATGTGCCACGGCAATGTTTGGAAGAATGGTCACAGTTTGGTCTCGTGTGTTATTTGTCCTTGTATTCTTTAGTCATTGGATGGATGTGTCTGTCATTTTAATTTCAAAGTAGTTTATTTTATTTTACAAAGAAATAAGATTGGTACAAATTAAACGGTTAGCAGGAAATTAATATATAAAATTTGAGTGACAAGTGATACTTCAAAATATTGTGAAAAAACTGTATAAATCTGAAAAATCTAATCGAGTTATTTTGTTTCAAAAAATTACGGTATGTGTTAATAGAAAACAAACAAGAGTGTATTTCAAACAAAACCCAACATACCAAAAAGCATTATAAAAAAGAACTATTTCTTCTTCTAAACACGAACCAAAATGCAAAAGCAATTTGCAAATAGACCTTTGACATAATTTGACACAAATTATAACCTACATCTACTATAACAGAGCCTATAATTTGTCAAGAGTTGGTTAGACCAAGCCTTAAAAATCTTCAGCCGAGTTCATACGCATCTGCGTACGTACATTGTTCATCGTTCCGTCACTCCAAAAATTTCGAAATGTGATCTAATTTTTTAAATAAACCAAAAAACTGGTTAAAAACAACAAGAAACGACGCATGACGGATTTATATACAGGGTGAGTCTGAAATAAGTGCAACTATTCTCAGGGATGGTATATTTCGACCCCAGGAACATTTCCTTTTAAATTTTCCTGTATATTTTTCGAAAACTTTTTAGGACTACCTGTTCACCGCAAATTTTCCCACGGTATAATTTTTTAATCTCTGATATTACCATAGTTACACCTTTACTCTATGGTTACGGCACTAAAAGGGATACAAATACAGAAAAAATCCGGTGGCTCTCAAAATTTTTTCAAAAAATTTTTTTCTTTTTAATTTTCAAACTTAAATAACTCGATTATTTTGGACTTATTTGAAAAATTGTAAAGAAAAAATGTATTTCTTTTACCGAGATCTACCAGCCCTGAAAATATTTGCACTTAAGACTACGCCCATCTATAGTTAACTTAAAAATATTAGAATTTTTTAGTGAAATAAATGGATTGGTATGTACATCATTGTCTTCATCTTTCCTGAATCGTAAATCAGAGTAAAATTTATCTATCGAATCAGTATGAATTATTATTATTATTTTCTAATTTAAATTAAATTTTTAATGATTTTTGTTAGGGACTGGTATATCCCGCCTTGCAGTGCCTAATAGGAAGATGGGCTCCTCCTCAGGAAAGAGGCAAGTTCGTGAGCGGCCTGATGGGCAATACCCTAGGAACTTGCCTGACTTGGATCGTAGTTGGCGCCGTAACAAAATCCTATAAATGGCCTTTCGGTATCGATTTTGCAATTTAAACGAAACGTTTCATTTTGAAAATTATCAATGCATTTTTTCTGCTAGGTTTCCACATATTGAGCATACAAATCATCTTCTATCTCGTGATTTTTACGATATTTACCGCCGACAGTCCCGAGCAACATAAGTGGATAAGTGATGAGGAACTTAAGTTCATTAAAGAGTCTCAAGAAGGAAGAGTTTCAAAAACAAAGGTAAGTAGTAATTAGTAATTTATTGAAATTAGTATTTATCCCAAAAAAAAATTGTGTTTCCCACCGTTTAATAAAAAAAAACCGGCGTGAAGTACGGCTGGGGAATGGCAATCGATCATAATTTGGACGAGGTCTATCTCTAGATGTCATTTACTAAAAATTGATATAATATTTTTACATTTTTTTTTATTTTTAGCCCTATTTTCTTGATTTTTTTTAGCAAACTGTATATAAATATATCAACTTTAATTCGTAAACTCACTATTATTATAAACTTTATAGTATTTGACTTATTATACAGGATTAATCAAAGGGATGTTTTTACCCTATCTTTAAAACACCCTGTGCAATAACTTTGTCAGCAAATTTTCCTAAAACATTATTTTTCGGTCAGAACCATGTCTCCTGAATATTTTGTTTTTTGACTCTTGTGTTTTTTGACTTTTGCGAAATATTTCTAGAAATATTTCGTAAAACATTTCTCAAAAGATTTCTGGAAATAGTACGTTAAAATAAGCCCGTGAAAAATAAGTAAACATGGAAAAACTGACATGAAAACAGTTACCGATGGTAAATTGAATTGGCTATTCCTCGAAGGTTACACAAGGGTATTTAGTTTTAATCATTGTCTAATATAATTAATTAAAATATAGTAAAAAATATAAAACAGTGACTAACTAGCGGTCTACCATTTATCGGCTTATATTCCACGGTATTGCGCCTCATGAACAAAATATACACAAAATTATTTAAAAAACTGTCTAATTATTTATTATTTCTGGTTATGGTAAAGTAACATTTATACTGTAGTCTGTAGCAAAATTTAGTTTACGAATTTGGTTTTGTTTTTCTAGTTTTAATTGTCTAAATCCCTGCATAATAAGTACTAGTTGAATGGATTTATGTCAAACCATGCTGGGTTATAATAACAGTATCGTTTACAGAGTTCTCTTAAGAACAATAAAAGAACATTGCTTTTAAATAATATCCGTGGACCATAATTTTGTTGACATTGGGTCAATTAATAATTTTTCCAAGCGGATATATTGATAATGTTACCAGTATTACTCATGAAGCAATACTACTACTCTTGTATTAATCAATTAAGGCCGTAAACAAACATATCATATACAATTATTTTATATACTAATTCATTATAAGAAAATTAAATCATAAAAATATTGTAATTATATTCCTGCAGTTTAAGTGAAAACTTTTGTTCCTAAATATAAATATAATAAACATATAATAAACGCGTATTACAGTATAACATAAATCGAGATGTAATTAACGAAATATCATAGTAACAACAGCAGAATTTCAGAAACGTCTAGGTTTACTTATTTCACTGAGATTTATGAGAAAAAAACCCTTTGCCTCGGAACAGATACCTCCACGTTTTGGAAATAGTTCAAAACAAGACAAAATTGAACGAGGCAAGAAAAAACGCCAAAAAAAATCCCCCCCTCGCCCTCCTCACGAGTAGTTTTCAGGCGCTTTTAAGAATCGAAACTAGGTCGAGGCAAACCGAAATGGGTTAGACCAAGACAACTGGAAATAAATCGAAATGCATTAAAGTTAGGCGACGAAATGTGACCTTGACATGTTTCGAATTGTTTCTCGCATAGTGTGTACGCTGTTTTAGAGTATTATTACCAGTTTTTTGTCTGTATGTTCACTTAGTTATTACATTTTTTTAATATCCTGTGTGTGAGTTCTGTTAGTTAATATTTATTAACACTAAGCCTGTATCGTTACATTTTACCTTTTTTTTTAATTTGAATATAGAGTTCTAATCAGTGTCGATATGACATTACTATAATAGTCACCAAAGCTACCTCGTAATACTAAAAAAAATACATCATAAAGTAATGATAGATGAAAAATTTGCAAATTGTCGGTGTCAAGTTCATATTTCGCTCTTAAAAATTAAGCAAGACATGATTGTGTTGACATGAGCCAAAAAAGAAAAAATGATTAAAAGACATAGTTCTGAATGAAAAATAACGTTTTGGGAAAAGTTACTCACGAAATTATTGCACAGGATATTTTAAACTTAGGGTACAAAGAACCCTTTGTTTAACGCTGTATAATAAGCCAAATACTAAAGTTCATAAAAAACTGAGTTTGCGAGTTAAAGTTGATAGATTTATATACAGATTGCTAAAAAATTCATGAAAATCGGGCTAAAAGTAAGTAAAAAATAACACTTTAAACTTGACGAAAATTTTGACGCTTTTTTTTCACCTGAGTGTAGAAAGATTAAAAAAGGATAGAACGTCTCCACACGTAGTAATTTTTTATTATGGTAGTTTTAAAACTAAGCATCTATGACACTATTTTTAAGCTAATATATTGTATTAACTGTTAAAATATACAATAATTCCATATAATTATTACATTTTAGGCTGTAGCACCGTACAAAGCAATATTCACTTCTTTCCCATTTTGGACTCTAACCATACTGCATTTTGGCAATCTATGGGGACTCTACGTTCAAATAACGGCAGTTCCGAAATTCATGAAAGAAATAATCGGATTTGATATAAAAGTATGGTTAAAAATGTCGCTAAAACCGTAATTTAACTTCGATTTAATTCCGTTACAGCAATCTGGATTCCTAAGTTCTTTACCGCATTTATGCCGATTATTTTTGGGCTTGGGCTATGGAGCTCTGGGCGACTGGCTGAAGAAGGAAAAGTTCAGTAGAACTCTAGTATTGAAATCATTTGTTTTACTATGTAAGTCTAAACCAAAAGTTTATATTTCTAGTAAAATAATAGTTTATATAAGCGATACCAAATACACTTTTTTTTCAATAGCAACTGGTAAATATATATCTTCCTTATATCTATCAAAAATAGTAGATAAAATAGTACTTTAACCGCAAGGGTAGATTAAATGATACTTTAACAGCGAAGATAGGTTAAAAACTTTATTTCTTCTCGCACGTTTTTGAAAATTTTTGTATTCCTTTTCATAAGTTATTCGGGATTTAAATGGAAGTATTTTGGATATGGCGTTTGTCGCTTCAGCCTGAATATCTGTTGGTAATTTACTTATTTCATTTGAGCCATTTCTGGCTCCAATTCAGCAATCGACACGAAAGAGAATTAAAAATATTGACTCAAAACTGACAACCCATAGACTTAAAATAAAATATAGACTGAGCATCTCATTCATAAATAGCTGGAACATGCGGTCAGACACTGTCTTGTTATTGTTGTGTTATTGTTTTAGGTTATAACGAGTGCGACACGAGCGATAGATAGGTTGTCTCTGTCGTAACGGTCGTTCCCTGACGACTCTGCCGAGAAACACAACACTGTCTTTCGTTTCTCAAGTACACCTGAACTCTCCGTATCATAGCCGGGTAATTTTTTTATTTTAATGAAGCTATAATTAAATTAAAAATATATCGTATTTAAACTTTTTTATATTTTATTAAGATTTTTTAAATAAAAGTTTAGAAAAAACAATTTAGAGTCCAAAAAGGATAAAAATAATAAAATACACGTTATAGAAGAAATTTTATCATCGAAATTAGGTAATTTTTGAAATTAATAATAAATTATTAATTTTAGTCAAACATTTACAACCCCTAATATTAATCAAAACAGGATCTATTCCACAGATATAATAGAATCGGCAACAGGGAGAGAAAAAAAATATGATTGTTGTAATTTTTTTTCTGGTTAAGTGATGTCTTATTATGTAAATTAGAGCAAACATAAATCTGTTCCATTAAAGCAAGGAAGGTGATAGGAAGTGGATAAAATAAAAACTACATTTATAACTCGGTACTGTCTTTATTATACCGGGTGCGTCTCAAAAGTGGCTCATCCCCATAATTTTTTTATATTTTCAAATAAAAAAAACAAGATTTAGTATGTTAGTATATGAAATAAATTAGGATTGATTGACGCATTCAATTGTTTTTGGTCACTTCCTGTTTCGATAACTATAACATTTAATTTTAAGCAGCACCCTTGGTATATTTCACTTTATTCGATAGAAAATGACAGTCTAGAATAGAATGACACATCATATGTCAGCACGACATTCGCATATGGTTTAATTGTAATTGTAACACGCGGTTCATAACGACAATTTGACTCGAAATACCAAGTGTGTGGTATCAATATATTCATAAAAAATGCTTTTTTCCAAATATGCTAATGAGTCCCTTGTTCCCTTGTTCCATTTGAAAAAAAGTGAAACATGTATGATTAAAATCGATTTGTACATCTTTTAACCGGCCTAGACAAGACACGAAACCCATTAGACGATCAAAACTATTTTTCCAAGGCTCCTTGATTAAACCTTAGTGTTTTTAACAACACCATGGCACCCTGGATTGAAATTTAAAATACGATTTGTTTTTAAGCGACAATGTCAAAAGTTGACATATGATATGCCATTCTATTCAGAGTATCATTTTTTATCGAATAAAGTAGCAATATACCGAAGGTGCCTTTAAAAATCAAAAGATGTAATCATTTCCGTGAAACAGGAAGATACCAAAAACAATTGAATACGTCAATAAATCCTAATTTATGTCATATACCTACTAACATACAAATCTGTTTTTTTTATCTGAAAAAATAAAAAAGTTATAGGGGCGAGCCACTTTTGAGACGACCCGGTATATTAAAAAATATTGCTTCATAATGTAATATCATTTTAAAATTCTTGTATGTTATTTTAGATTCTCAAGATAATTTTAGAATAAACCGGAATATATTTTTAATAAAAGCATTATTAATTATTAACAGGGTTATAATTATGATTTTGTTACAATGTAAGTAAGTAAATAATGTAATGTAAGAGAAAAAATTCAGATTTTACATTTTACTAAAATATTATCTAAATAAGCGCCTTTCTACAACAACGCCACTTACTCCTAATGGGTATATTGAGAGTTGCCTACCGGTCGAAAGTTGTTTCAAGACTTAAATGGATTATTTAAGTCAAATTTCTTGCAAATTTGGCACTGACGAACCATATTTTATAGTTCTTGAACAGAAAAAGTCAATAAAATAAACAATTAAAGACTACAAGCTAAGAAAATGCGTTAATACAGCCGGGGATATAGCGGCAACAAAGCTTTACCGCACACGTGCGACGCGTACTACAAGGTAATAAATGAATGAATAGGCTCCCTCGCTTCTAATCGGTGTTGTCATATTGTAAAGAACTTATCCTTTTTAAACAGTATCCGACTTATAATTTAGTAGTATAAGGACTATTTAATACATCTCTGGAATATTAAAACCTACTTTATTAAACTGTAGTATTAATATCTCAATATATGTGTATAACAAGAAAAAAAATATTGATAATATTAAAGACGTGACAACATAGGCTGGATGAGGAAGGCTCGGTCGACTGTACCCAGAGTAAACATGTGTACAAAATATTGTCTGTCACAGTTGAGATGTAAATAATTAGCAGTCTATGTTTATTTTAGATCTAATGTGACAACCATAGACTAATGTCATGACTAGAGATAGATTGGACACTGATATAAAACAAATGGGTCCGTCATTTAGAGCCACCTGGTGATCCGGAAGAAACTAATGGAGAGTTTTGGCATAACATAATTTTAGCGTTCCGTTACTTATTAACGCTATTATAAACGGTAACGTTATTCAAGCGCAAAATTATTCCTTGTAAAATATAAAATAATAAATATAGACTTTTTTACTGCCATTTTATGTTTTATTAGATCATTGAAGTGTAACATAATTAAAACAAAATTAAAATTATAAATACGTACATTTTAAACACCAACTATAGATCACATAGCGTCTATTTTTTTTTTGATTTAGCAACTAAATTATAATATAGTAAAATATTATAGACTACTAATTAACTGTTACTAAAAATACTATATATTACCAACTATGTACTTACTTATTTATGGTTAAACTCTCTTTTTTATTTGGTTCATAAATTTATCATTTCTAAAATGTCAAAATGACTTTAATAAAAAAAAGTTTAGTAGCTAACACGAAAATGATGATCGACTGTAAATATACGAATGCACAAACTAATAAAATCACAAATCACTGAAATCACTGAACTTTCCGACAAATCAGGAATATTTGAATTAATGATTATTTAAAAAAAATAATCAAAACAATGATTTAAAAATAACTTGACGGATCACCAACATTTTGTAAAAATGTCAACGTAATGTCAATTAGATAAAAACTAGACCACAGACAATAGTCAACATAGGGACTGTCATGTCATCTTCATATATAAATTAGAAACCTGTACTTTAATGTCTTTTGCGCCGTCTGGCGATGCGGAAGAAACTAAATTTGGAGTTCTATAAAATTACCATTGAGTGTCTAGGGCATGCTGACAACTAAAGAGACAGCTTTATTTATTTGTCAAATTACATAGATACCAACGCCAACCCAGCACAATATTTTTTCTACTCGTAATACATTCCTTGAAATAATAATTTCTGAATATTTTTTCAAACGTAACTCGCTATGGAAAAAAAATAGTGTTTTATACACGACGATAAAACTGAATTATCGTCTCCCGAAATCTTTTCGATCGACGATAAAATACCATTTTATCGTCTTCTATAAAAAATAACTATTAGTTACTTAATCGAGGGCGCGATAATTAAATTCATTGTTGCCAAACTTTTGCCGTTTTGTTGAAGTAAATAATAACTGTTTATATATTTATAATTAATTTATTTTTGTTTTTTCAAATATTTCGATTAAAAGAAAATATGTAAAAGTGGGCAACGCTGTACCGGTCAAGCTTAATCACGTGACTAAAAGTTTATTTTGTATAATCTATAAGTATTATTCTAAAATATGAATTTTGTATTTCTCACAATTTTACCACAGAGTGTTCCTCAAGATATCTGATACTTTCAGCAAACTTAAGTTGACTATTTTCTAATTTTTCAGTGTTTAAGTTTTTACTTGTTATACAGGGTATCCTCCTATGCAAATATTCCGTGAACATAGAACTACTAAAGTAATCGCAAAACAATTTCCGATGCACGTGATCAACGTTGAGTGACAAGCGGTGGCGACAGCGCTGCCAGATTGTGATGGATTTATGAGATGAATGTTAATGTAAAATTGGGAAACAATATAATTATATCATTTTTTAAGGCTTTTACGTTTTATTTTTAATTTAATAATTAATATTTTAGTAATTCATTTATTTATTAACAGTAGTCAATAGCACTCATAGTAGAAATATTTAAATTTAAGGCAGCAACTACCAACGCTACAAATCGAAAATAATATGTAGAAATAACTTTGAAAGCGGTATAATGTTTACAAATCAAACGTACTTCTCTGACTGCAGTCAAGGGTAATAAAGGGCCTTTTTTGTCACGTTCTCGTTCAAAATAGTTTATCAGGAAAACTACAAGATCTTTGCTTCGCCTGCTTAAATGCTTCGGCATATTTTCAACCCACAATTTCAAGGAATGCAATACAAAAACTCGAAAATTTAGTTCTTAAAAGAACTGTTTGCGTTGAATCTGTTAAAGATTCAACAACAACACGATATTATACAAAATAATGACTGACATTATGATATTTGTTAAATAAACGACGACGATGCTGACCGCGGCGCAATATGACCAACATAGCGATAATAAAAATCGCTTTAAACTAATTATTGCACCTTTAATCTAAATAAAATATCTGTTAAATCATTTGTTCTACAAAGTAAAATGAAATGAATGCTGCTCGGTATCTTAAATGATACAACAAATTTAAACATTTTTGTGTGCCAAAGTTTCATTTAATCAGGTTTATAGGCTCTAGTGTCAATTTCGATATGATTGATGACGTGCATCGGAAAATGTTTTGCGACTACCGTATCTATTTTTTGTAGCAAAATAAGTTCTCCTAGACAGTTAACTTTATTGGGACATCCTGTATACTGGGTGTCCCAGTAAAAATAACTATTAACTAACTAAGTATAAAACTGACCAAAATTAAACATTGTAAAGACTAGACACTCCCTGGACTGACACTTCGTCTTTACAGTGTGAGTCGAAGAAGATGTTTCTTACAATTATCTTTTAATTCACAATTATATATAAAAATTAATTTGTACTTAAACAAGAATATAAATTCAGTCGTTTCTTTACTTGTTCATTCCGTTTCTAGCTCACATAGTACCAGGAGTTCTAATGGCTTCCATGGGTTTGGTAGGATGCAATGCCACTGCTGCCACGACCCTGCTGATACTCAGCATGTCCATCAATGGTGCAGCAGTACTGACTAATTTATCGAACCCAACCGATTTGGCACCCAATTTTGCCGGTACCATATTCAGCATTATCAGTTTTATTGGAGGTGTCACTGGATTCATTGTACCATCGATAACTGGAGTATTCATAAACATATATGGGGTAAGAAAAGAGCATATTTGTATTTGTATAGAAAATTGCACAAATTAACCACATTATTCTACGTCATTAGTTTAAATAAACACTAATTTTTTTTTACGTTTTGCTACAGCAGAAATTACTTAACTTTCCCTTGTTTCTAAGATTTAGAAAAATACATTTATGAATGACGATGTCATCTTTAGAAAATCATAGGTCTAAGTACACTATTGGACAAAAGTAGAGCAACAAAGTTCATTTTTATTCATGTTTGAATAAAAAAAATATTAGGTTGTGATTTTCGGCTATGTTTACTAACACACTATCCCTACACTAAAAGTAATATTTTACAAAATATTGGTGTACTTTCAATCAGTTTAAAAATGGTAAATAATAATGATTATAAAAATTGATGAGAACGGGGGTGACAAAAGTAGAGCAACAAATTGTATTCTTAATAACTTGCTGACAACGGCGCGCCATTGGCGCAATCAACTTCTGAATGACATTTGTCCAAACTTCATTAATTTTATCTATCAAGGGTTGTTTGTTTACAAACATTTGGGTACGAATACGACGTTATACTTCTTCCCAGATATTTTCAATGGGGTTAAGGTTGTAGGATTGTGCTGGCCATTGCAAAACTCGAAAGTCATTTTCCTTAAACCACTGTTAAACAACTTGTGAAGAGTATTTTGGATCGTTGTCCTGTTGGAAAATACAACGCAGTGGCATTTCACATTCTGCATGATATCCCTATAAAGGTTCAAATCGGTCCATCGTGTCATTAATAAAGTGTATAGCGCCTATCCCATTCCATGAGAAACAACCCCATAAAAATACACTGCCTTTACCGTGTTTAATTGTAGGTGTCACGTACTTAGGATTAAACCATGTATTGATTGGTCGCTTTACATGTCTCATTCCATCAGAATTGAATATTTTGTAGCGCGTTTCATCACTGAACAGAACTTTTTTTCAGCCATTTTAATTTTTCAGTCCAGTTTAAACGCCGACCTCCGAATGCCTCCGACCTTGCTGCTCTATTTCTTTCCGAAACTAACGGCTTTTTAGCTGGACCTCTACTAAATAACTTTGCATCTACTAATCTCTTTTGTACTGTTCGTATACCAACCGTAATTTCTGGAATTTCGGCAATAATTCTAGGTGCGGACTTCCAAGGATCATTTTGATGCGCCTGTTGATTCTTTTGATGCGTCTGTCGCTCATTACTGTTGTTTTCTTTGGCCTTCCCGATTTTGGCAACTTTTCTAAGTGTCCCCTGTCATTATACGATGAAATTATTTTAGATACTCTGTACCGGGGTTACACAAACTGTCTTGAAATATCGGCCGCTTGTTTGTTACCTTCCATGAATGCATTCCCAACTCTTTGCTTCAAGTCTTTTGAAATTGGAATTCCTCTTGGCATGACTAATCCAGCATAGAAATGTTTAAAAAAACATAAAATAAACATCGCACAATTATTTTGGTCTGTACTTTTGATAAAATCCTTCTTTGGAATGAATTATGTTGCTCTACTTTTGACTCGTTATTATTAAGCATTTAAAACTAAATGTCAAAATAAATTCATTTGTTTTGTTAGTAAAAATTCTTGCTGTCATGGATACTCATAGCCTACTTCGCAGTTTTTAAATTTATTGTATTTGTATACATTATCATGCATGTATAATTAAAAAATCGCGATTTGCAAATATTTCTTCAAGTGTTGCTCTACTTTTGTCCGATAGTGTATATACAGATCATACCAAATAAACTTTTAGTCATGTGATTAAGCTTGACCGGTACAGCGTTGCCTACTTTTACATATTTTCTTCCAATCAAAATATTTTAGGAAATAAAAGGGAATTAATTATAAATATATAAACACTTATTATTTACATTAACAAAACTCAGTAAAAATGTTTAAGCCTAAAGTATTGTAACACAATTCCCTTAAACTAAAAAGTTGTAACACAAAACTACAATGTCAAAACGGAAAAAAAATGTCAGGAGATCATATTATGTCATGAAAAAATTTGTATTGTCATATATTTACAAACCATCTCTGTATCTCTTCTGATGTACAAGATCCTTCTAGTGTACATTCTTAAAAGAAACATCCTGTATACAAAAAACATACTTTAATATAATGTGGTTGATTGTAAATTGTAATTGTTTATTTTTATAAATTTCATAGAAATAATGCAATTTTTTTTCAGTCAACCACAAAGGCCTGGGCCCTGAATTTCGCACTAGGTGGAATCATTTATTGCGGTTGTGGAATATTTTTTATGATTTTTGGATCTGCCCAAACTCAACCATGGAACGAGAAAAAAGAAGATGCTGAACCGCAGACATCGGCTAAATAAATCACTTCCATATATACATATAATTATATTAAACAGAAAATTAATAAATCTGTATATAAATTTGTAGTACAAAACATACATTTTTAACAAAACTCACTTAACATATCATAGTGCCGATAGATAACAACAAAACTAAAGTATTTAGTATTAAAACAGAAGTATTTGCTGATCCAAAAATCAAGTGAATTTTATTTTGGAATATCGTAGGAATAGGCGATTAAATAAATGACAGATATCACTGTCAGTATCAAAAACTTCGGGTGTATTCCGTTGCTCACTTTGGTTATGGTTTTATGTTCCGTTTCTATCGGTTTCCTGAAAGGTTTCTTATTACGGAACGCGGTTCCTGAAAAATTCGGTTATAACTGTCACCAAACTAACCAGCGCTAGAAGGTTGTTTTTTCTGGTTTTGTTTGTCAATCAATGTCATTTATGTGACAGAAATCAAGCAAAGGAAATTGGAAGGCGGAGTAAAATTTTCATATAATTTCTAAAATTTGTAATAATATTTTGTATTTACATCCAAAAGCAATGGAGGTAGGCAGTAAAGGTAAATACATTTCATTGACTAAATAGAATTACTTTTTAGGACCATTTAAACTTATCATGCAGCCACTGTTTTTTAAAGTCAGGAACATTTTTAAAGAAAACATGAAAAACAAGGCAACAAGTAATCGTAAATGTTTTATAAGCTATGAAAACATAAATATTGATTTGATTTGTTTATTTATTATTGATCTGTTTTAATATTGGACCTGCAAATCTTCACTTGAGCTGTCTAACGAGTTTAACAGTTTATTAATAAAGTACTTTTCAATATTAAACTCCATTGAAAAGAAGAAGCAAACGTAAAAGCAGAGAATAGATACATTAAAAATGGATACAAGATAAATTTTATAATAGGGGTATTGAAATTTAGAAAACGTCAACATTTGACGTTTCCAGTATTTTACCAAACCGTTCCGTATCAAACCGATGTTTTTTAGGAACCGCTCTCTACCGTAGTTTACCGGTCTGGTTAGCCTGGTTTTCTGTAGCGATGTGTATCCTTAACCAATATAAAGTAAAATCAAGTTTATAATTTTGATTCAGTAAGCCAGTTAAATGTCTGTGGTTTCCTGTCAGCAGTTGGATTGATAATAACATTGATTACAGTAGGTCCGTCTTCAATTTTCAGTGCTTGACCGATAGCTTCCTTCAACTCAGGAACTGTCTGAACGAAAAATCCAGGTTTTCCAAATAATGCCATCATGTTATCGTAACGCGTACAACTGGACAAGCATCCAGGAGGAGTACTACAAATAAAAGTATAGCATTCGAATTAAACCAATTCTGTGCTCCTTTGACATTTTAAAACAGCAAAAAATATTACGTTAATTAAAATTCTATCATAGAAAGGTGTTTTGATTTTTAGGACTTTTTAATATTTACGAAAATATAACAATATTTCTTTTTAATTTTCTCTAAAACGGTATGCAAATTTGGAAAAGTATAAACGGGATTAACCATTTTAGAACAAGCAAAATTTTTTTATGAAGAATATATTTTTCTCAAAAGATCAATAATAAAAATGTTGTAAAGAGAATCCGGGGACATACTGTATTAACTTCTAATTTGAGCTTTTCGCAATCAACGACTTACACTTTAGTAATTTCACCGCTATCTTGGATATCTTTGAATACTTCCGGTTCCATGCCAGTGTATATTCCAGAATTATTAACTACCACTACAGTTATTGGTAGCTTATACCTAGCCATTGTTTCTATTTCCATTCCTGAGAACCCAAAAGCTGAGTCTCCTTCAACGCATATGACTCTTTTCTTTGGTTCGTAATGTCTGCAGTACAGTGCTGCAGCAATTGCAAAACCTGGACCAACCTGAGAAATATATGTTTCAATTGATAACTAACTTACTAATATCTGTTACTAATAGCACAGATTAGGTATACTATATGTATACAGACATCTTGTCCCTAATTCGTGGTATAAAAATTGTTTTTTTTATGACGATGAGTAAACGAGTAAAATTTTCTGTCCGCAAATATAAATTCGCGTTTAAACAGCGTAATAACTGGGCCGGTCAGGCGCTGTGCTCAATTTTAGAGGCCATAAAGTGGGTGTTCTATGTGCGCAAACTTACTAGTTTGCGCAATGAACTTAACTAGTGCGCGACTGCGAAAATTGGAACCACGAAAAACAATGCTTTTGATAAGTTTATAATTTGTATAATCTGTGTTAATAGCGCAGAAGGGTGAATATTTTTTAAGTATTTTTGATATTAAAATCAGTTAAAAAAGATAGTCTAAAAAACAATAAAAATTGAAGTTTTTATTCTAGTTTTAGAATAAAATGACAGATAATGACTGTCAATTTCATAGGCATATTATCTCACTGGACAGACTGTATCTCCTAGTTTTTCTTCTAAAATCAAAGTAGGTATTTGTAAATTTTGGAAGCTATCAAAGGAACTTTTAGAAGATGCAGCATGATAGGGCTCCGGTTCACAACTTTGAAAATATGAGAATTTTATAAACAACCATTTCCCAAATCAATGAACCCATACGATGGCCTCCCCGATCTCCAGATTTGTTCGTTCTCGATTTCTGTATTTAGGGATTTTTGAAAAATTAAATATATCGTGGCAACTAATACAACCATGTCGAAGACTTGGAAAATGCCATCAGGCAAGCTTTTAGATATTTGCAAACCTAACCCCTTATAATAAATTTCGTTATAAAAAAAATAAAAATATATTCAGAGATTCAGTTCAACAGTTTACAAGCAAAATAATTTAGTCTGAAATAAAATTTTAATATGTGTGTGTATGAATATTTTAGTAAATGCCATTTTGATTTTTTTATTATCTATGTTAGCCTACTCTTAAGAAAATTGTATCTTTTAAATATTGCAGTAAATTGTGAAAGTAAATATAAAGTGTTATATATTTTTAAGGTCATAGCAAGCCAGATCATATGATTTATAAATATACAGAGTATTCCATTTGAGAAAACATAACTTTAGTTCATATTTTCAAAAATGTTTTTTTCGTAGAAAAATAGACTACGCCACTGTATTCTACGTAAAAAGTTCTACAAAAAACAGTTTTCGCCTTCTCGATACTTTTCACAATAACAGAAATACGGGGAGTGTCGCAAATTGTAAAATTTTCAAAAAGACCCTGTAGATTAGAAACGAAAAGGGCTATGAAAATTTTGTTTACAGCATCTCTCGTGTGATACAAAAGTGGGATAGGTTTGTGCAAACCGTATCCTCCTATCATCATTAATAACGGAGATACAGTATGATCTCAACCAAAATGGGTCATCCTGTACATGTCTTATCCGAGTGAGACACCCCTCTATATAGACATTATTTAGAGTTAATCTACTTTAACTCACCCCCATAGTTCCAAAAGTGCCCGCATCAAGCCTGTGGCGTGGAAGTTTGTTCAACAACATAGATCTTCCAATATCCATTGTATTAGCACCTTCACTCACTATAATACAATCTTCAGGTATATTTTCGTACAAGTTTTTGAATACTGCATAGTAATTTAAGGGTGGCTGAACATCGCTAGCCATACCCTAAAAAGTAGACCTAAATAAATATCACCAGAAATACTTTAACTTATTTTTAAAATACGTTACATCTACAATTTTCCTGTTATCTTCACACTTTCTTTTCAATACTTTCCACCACTCTTCGGAAGAAGAAAATTCAAATTTCTTCTGTTTCAAACTGTCCACTATTTGAGACACTGCCGTTTTGATGTCGCTCTGTATAGCAACGGCTGATTTGACGCTGTTATGCAATTCTTCAGCTAAGATATCGATTTGAATTACTTTAACGTCTGGAGAGAACCGTTCTGGGCGTCCAAAATGAAGGATCCAGTTCAATCTAGCTCCTAGAAGCAGTATAACGTCTGCTTTCTGGAGAGCTAGGGATCTTGCTGGTCCAATACATCGATCTGAAGTGTCAGGAACTACTCCTTTGCCCATTGGTGTAGCCAGGAAGGGAAGATTAGATGCATTTATTAATTCATTTACCTAAAAAGAATACACTTGAGAAGCGAATTTTTCATAATATTAACAATAAATGTGATTTGTTCCTAAGACATACATTCACCTCGGTTGATTATACGAAAACGGAAAGATGTAGAAACAAAATATTTTGTGGGTATATGTGGGGAGACAATGTACACAATTTAAAATTATTTTGAAATATACAGGTTGTTTCAGAACTAAGATCCATACCAAAGTTATATTTTTTCTTAAGGAACACCCGGTATTTTATTTCATTTTTGGATTCTTGGGCCCAAAAAAGGCATTTATTATAAGGGTTATTTATGTTTAAAATCTTTACTTTTTGAGATATTTAAAGATATTTAAATTTGCATGCTAAAATAGAATAGACTATTAACACCCTGTACGTTACTTTTCAGAATTAATTCTTATGCTGAGTTTAAAGGTAGAGAAATAAACTTTACAAAAATATGTTAGTGCTTCCTTAAATTTATACAGGTGTATCAAAAATTGATGATCTATTATAAGAATTTATTTTACAAAAAAACTTCGTTATTTCAAATGCAACACCCTGTATTTTTTTAAATAAATCAAAGCAGATTCAAATGCTCTTTCAAACTATATTAGGGTTTCTTATACCTATCTAGCTCATATTTTGAATAAAGAACAATTTTTCAATAAAATGGCAACCAAGAGGGCTATAGTGTCATCATGGCAATTGTCTAGTGTCAGTTAGTAGCTATTTTCAAAATCGAAATTAGTTTATGGGCTTATTTAAATTTATACCAGTTTACTTTTATTTAATTTACCTACAATAGTTTAATAAATAATATTTATTAAATATGTATTTATTATTTTATCAAGAAAAAAGTAGTTCTTTGATTTATTTTACGATGACTTCTAGATATATGGATTTTCTATAAAAGAGCCAATTACGGCAAATTCATTTTCTTCACTTCCAACGACAGGTTTCTGCCTAAGAGCTCTGCGAAACAGGACAAGTAGTTTTTCAAAGGAACTCTTATCAGAAAGATCCCTATTTATGTATCTTTGAGCATAAGCCCTTGAGGCCAAGAAGCAATTTTTCTCACAAAATAAAATCACTAGTAACATATCTATTCGTTCTGCCAGCAGATACTGCTCTATTTTTATTGATAAAATAATGGATACTTACTTATTAAACTATGGTAGGTAGATTTAAGTAAACTGTTATAAATAATTATAAATAATAATGTCCATAAACTAATGTCGATTTTGAAAATAGTTACTAACTGTCACTACAAAATTGCCATGGCGACACCAGCCATTTTGATTGCAATTTTATTTAAAAATCGCTTTTTATTCAAAATCTGAGCTAGATAGGTATAGGAAACCCTAATATAGTTTGAAAGAGCATTTGAATCTGCTTAAAAATTTATTTTAAAGAATACAGGATGTTGCATTTGAAATATATAAGTTTTTATACAGGGTTGTTCACCACATACGACACGGAGTATTGTAGCAAAACGATGAGATTTTGACAAATTGTAAGTTTGGGGTTCGTTGAAGGCGAGGGGTGTCTCACTGCTGGAATTACATGTACATTTCCTTGGCAGTCGCTGGCAGTCATTGGCAGTCTTACGGCAGTCCCTATAATAATTACATGGCAGTCATAGGCAGTCTTCTTCGCAGACATTGGCAGTCGCTTAGAAGTAGAATAATATTTTGGCAGTACATGCACATTTTGTACCCAAGTGAGACACCCCTCGGTTGAAGGACTATTAGAGCTACAATTTAAAAATATTTTTACAAGATACAGAGTGTCCCAAATAAATAAAAAATATCAAAGTTGTATTTTTTTAAATGGAACACCCTATATATTATTACATTTTTAGTTTCTACGATTAAAATAAAGGTAAATTTGATTAAGGTTTATTGTACTTAAACCTTACCGTTTTTGAAATATTTTCAATTTTGTGAAATTGCAGTAAAAATTTTAAAGCTTCATTTCTCCAAGGGTATCAATGTTTTTAATACTAAATATTTAATGAAGTTTATTTATTGATCAGTTATTGTGTTGCAATAATAAAATAATACTACCTTATACAGAGTGTCTAAAAATTTATTTTAAATAATTATTAGCTTCAAACGGCAATAACTTTTTAATTTAAATGGAATGCCCTGTATATTTTAGGAGAATCAGATGCACAATTTAATTGTCTATCAAATTGTACTATGCCATTTTTTACCTATCTCTTCAAGTCGAAAATGCATTGTCTTATAATTTAGACCTCATTTATCAATATATCCGTGAAATATTGACATTTTAGATTATTTTAAAGCAACAAATATACAAAATGTACAGACTAGTAATATTATTTTTAGCAAAACGATAATATTACTAGCCCATTTGTATGCAAAAAGAAACTATTTAAATCTTTATAAAAGAGTATACCATTAATTAAATATAACACCATTATTTCCGCCCATATACTAATTAATTACATACTTAATTGTGTTCGTTAATAAATTATTATAAATAAATGTGGATTTGAGTCAGAAACCAATATAATAATAAGTTATCAAATTAAAGTCTCTGTTGTTATAAATAAGCATTTATTAAAAAATGAAATATCATTTTTAAGGTGTTACTTTTTATCACACTGTCTAATGCCCATACAAAATTCAGTTTTTTAGTATTTGGAGCAATTATTATTAATCAACGCAAACAGTCAGTTAATGTAGTTTGAATACTGGAATCATATTAATTGATCCTCTTTAACAAATAATATTTAAAACTTTTTTTATTTTTTAATGAAATAAACGAATTATATCGACAATATTAGTATCTGTACTCTTTAAAAATTTGGTACATCTTTAAAAATAATTTAAAATGTCAATAGCCCATGGGTATATTGATAAATAAGTTCTAAATTACAAGAAAATGCATTTTCTACGGAAACTTAGAGATAGGTAAAAAATGGTATAATATAATTTGATAGACAATTAAATTGTGCATCTGATTCTCGTAAAATATACAGGGTGTCCCATTTAAATTAAAGAAGTTATTGCCGTTTGAAGCTAATAATTATTTAAAATAAATTTTTAGACACTCTGTATAAGGTAGTATTATTTTGTGCAACACAACTGATCAGTAAATAAACTTCAGTAAATATTTAGTATTAAAAACTTTGATACCCATGGAGAAATGAAGCCTAAAATTTTTACTGCAATTTCACAAAATTGAAAATATTTCAAAAACGGTAAGGTTTAAGTATAATAAACCTTAATCAAATTTACCTTTATTTTAATCGTAGAAACTAAAAATGTAATAATATACAGGGTGTTCTATTTAAAAAAATACAACTTTGATATTTTTTACTTATTTGGGACACTCTGTATCTTGTAAAATTATTTTTAAATTGTACCTCTAATAGCCCTTCATCGAACCCAAAACTTACAATTTGTAAAAATCTCATCGTTTAGCTACAATACTCCGTGTCATATGTGGTGAACAACCCTGTATAAAATATATTCTTAAAATAGATCAGCAACTTTTGATAGCCCTGTATAAATTTAAGGAAGCAATAGGTACCATTTTTCAGTAAAGTTTATTTCTCTACCTTTAAACTCAGCATAATAATCAATTCTCAAAAATAATGCACAGGGTGTTAATAATCTATTCTATAGTAGCATGCAAATTTAAGTATCTTTACAATTACAGCCAGAAAAGTAGATCTTTAAAGCTGGACTGTGATTCTGTTGCATTTATATTGAAACATATGAAGAAATATGTTAATTTCTAACATTTACAAGCTTATATACTTACTTCTTTTTCTGCTCTTGAATATGCTGCACCCTTTCCAACAATGACCAACGGCCTTTTAGCCTGTCCCAACAACTCAACAGCCTCCTGTATTTTAACTGGATCTGGATATATAAGAGGAATCTCTGTAGGACCATACTGCCGAGGTATCGTTGTGGAATCGACTTTAGCAGACAGTATATTTGCTGGAAAATCCAAATAAACCGCTCCAGGTCGTCCATTTTTAGATAAACGGACAGCTTTTTCGACATGGAGAGGTATGAGAGAGACACTAGGTGGTCTAGCTGAGTATTTGCAGTAAGGTCTTGCCAATTCCACCTGCAAATATATAAAAAAAACATCAGTTATACTATTCAAACAAAATGAACACTATTTACTTGATTACACTCTTGGAACCCACCAATACCTTCGTGGTCTTGTGGAGAGGAACCACCAATAACAACTACGGGCCAGCAATTGATTTGGGCATTGGCCATTCCAGCAAAAGTATGTAAAACCCCAGGGCCAGAAACGCAGAGAACTCCTGCAGGGTTTCCTGCATAGACCAAAAGAGAATTAGTTAAAATAGTATATTGAATATGCTACATACCTGTTAAGTATCCAAGCGCTTGAGCTGCATAGCAAGCTGCTTGTTCGTTTCTCATACCAACGTAATGAATGTCTGCCATTTGCAAGGCCATACTTAACTCAATAACTGGATATCCTATTATCCCAAATATAAATTCCACGCCCTATTAAGAGACATTATTCTTAAAATTATTGTTCTCTCAATACCAAAATTATATTAACTGAATATAACTATCTTGAGACATATTTATAATGATATATCAAATTAGAAAAAACAAAGAACTCTTTTATCTGTCGACCCGCTCGATGATAAAATTTTTAAACAGTACCTTAGATTGTCCTTAAAGATGTACTTTTAAATATTAGAACTTATTACACTTAGTTATTAATCTTTTTTTGTTTTTTATAGTTCTTTTATTATGAAAGATTTTAAAATTACTATATCTTCCTATGCATGTCGCCATTCAATGTCCAATATTTTGATAACATTGTATAAATACATAATAAGTTAAATAAACTAGAATATTAAAAACATTTATGACAAAATAAAGAACAAACTGAATTTAAAATCAAAAAATCCATTTATGAATAAAATTTATAAAACAATGTTTGTCAGCGACATCTAGTTGACGTTAGTGAAAATATGAAGCCCAGCGCAAATCTACCATAAAGAAATCTTTCTAGATATCTACTATATTTCCCATTGTTTATATTGCAATTTTGTTGTTATGGCAGATTATAGGTAAACCAATTTTTTATAATTTTTTACAAGCCATTTGAGTTTTTACTATTATTGTTTTAAATTTTCAACGAATTTCTTATTCAGTTTGTAAAAACATGTTTACCATCATTCTTACTGACACGTCAGCTTAATAGATAATTATAATAAATTTTAGAAAAAAAAAAATGACAAACAACAATTAAAAAGCATTATAATTATATAATAACCTCGATTTTTACAGGTTACTCACCTGTTGTTTTAAGGACTGTGCCAAGACAGTATTTCCATCCACTTCTTCGCCCATTTTTTTAGTGTTTTTTTCTAATTTTTATACGTTAGTTCACCTTATTAAACAAAAAACTCACAATTTTAAGGTTATAGTACTTCAGTAATAAGTATCTACACATGACAGAACAACCACCAACAATATCAAGTAGGTATTCAGATAAAAAAGAAAACAATTAAACGTATTGAACTCTGACTTGTTATTATAAGTTGTTGTTTGTAATTATCAGATTTCTACATTTTTAATTTTAATTAAGCACTGAGTAATAATAGTTGTATGCTATTCTGAAGTGTAAGTAAATATTATGGAACACTTAATTTAAGTTTAATAATTATAATTTTAGGAACATACACTATAAGATGCAGAAATCAGTAGAGTTCAATGGTGAATTTAAAGCTACCTGAAAATTTATGTTCTATTTCAAATCAATATAAAAGTTTCATCTTTGCGCAGGTAAGTATTATGTTATAAAAATATATAAACGCTTTTGATAAATAGATAAGCGTGAATAAGCCATGTTATACATGTATACTGAATGACGAAAAAAGAACACATATTCATAAGATTTTATTAATTCTTGGTGTACAGGGTGATCATAATAGGTCTATTTTTAGAAGACCTGTTTCCTGACTAAGAAACGTATTTTTCGAGTGACGAATATAGTATTCTATTTAAAAATATATATTTTCTTTTCTTCTTGAAACTTCTTGCTAACATCTATTAAATTGAAGATTAAGCTAAGTTTTTGTCAAAACCACTTATCCGATTTGGACGATTTTTTTTTTGAATGATAGGTTATTCTTTCCACAATATTGCTATACTAACTGTATTTTGATAGGAACCCTTTTTATACTAATAACGGGTATAGCAATTATAACGTGTTTTTTTAATAAAAATTTGTGACACCCTGTAGAGTTGATCAGTTACAGTATCAAGTTAAAATTGAAATCATATTTTAGCCTTATCTTTTTTTTACATTTTGTTTTTTTATTTAATCCATTATCTTCCTTATTACACGAGAAACAACATTTTATAGGATGGCATAATTTAATATTGGTTTTAATTAACATTTTTCCATTTTACTCACTAAGGTAAGTAGGTAGAAAAATAAGTAGGGTGTAGATGTTCGATAAGAAGGGATTTTTCGAAATTCCAGTTCCAAGAGGGTGAAACCTCAAATATTACAATATTTTTTATTTAAAAAACGGTCAAGTTTCCGAAAAAACGCTTAAACACGTACATATATTTTATTTTGTTTTTTTACATATTTTAAGATTTTTTAAAAATGTATACAGGGTGTTTCGAAAAATCTGGTCATTGATTAATCACGATCCTGCTTAAAGCGCATGACGTAAAAAACTGATTTTTGGAAAACAGATTGACTTTAGGGTGTAGAGGTTCGATAAGAAGAGATTTTTGGAAACTCGAATTCTAAGGCGGTGAAACTATCCCTCAAATATTAAAATATTTTTTATTTAAAAACCGGTGAGTTTTTCGGAAAAACTCTTAGACACGTATATTTTATTTTGTTGTTTTACATATTTTAAGATTTTCTATAAATTTATACAGGGTGTTTCATAAAATATGACCATTGAGTAATCACGATTCTGCTTAAACTGATTGACGCTTAAAGCTGATTTTTGGCAAACGGATTGACTGTGGGGTGTAGAGGTTCGATAAGGAGGGGTTCCTCGAATATCAAATTCCAAGACGGTGAAAACGCCCCTCAAATATTGCCATATTTGTTATTTAAAAAACGGTTAGTCTTTCGGGAAAACGCTTGGACAAGCATGATTTATTTGTTTTTTACATATTTTGAAATTTTTTAAAAAATCATACAGGGTGTTCCTAAAAGTTGGGTAATTTCTTAACCACGATTCTGCTTAAACTGCTTGACGTTAAAAGCTAATTTTTGGCAAACGGATTTTTCGAAAGTCTAATTCCAACGAGATGAAACTACCCCTCAAATATTACCAAGTTATATAATAATATCGCCATATTGTTTTTTCTCATGCTGACATAAATGTGAGAAAATTTTATCCAGTTTGTATCATAATGGAAATTCTTGCTTTGCTTTATCATCACCATTACAAATGATTAATTCGACGCGAAGGAAGTTGCCGGTACACACTAGTAAAGATATATAGGCGTTCTTCTTTTTTTCTTACTCAGTATATTCTTTGATTTAATAGAGGTGGTAGTTGGGGTAGATTTAAACAACAATGGTATTCAATCCTACATTTATTTCAACCAATCTCTCCAAAAAACACTTGACAAAAAATGACCAGCAATCCACTTCAGACTAACATTAAATAGTACAAAACAAATAAAGGGATGCAAAAAACATCGTGTTATAATACATATCACCATTGAATTCAAGTCAAAAACAGCATTACAAAAATAACCTGACAAAATTATGTTGAACTTCCTTTAGTCAGTTTTATTTTCGGTAAGTTTTTGAACAAGCAAAATTAAAGAATTTCATTTAACAGAACAGTAAGTACAAAAACATTTAGTTCTAAACCAGAAAGAATCACAGACTTAAAATGGATTTTAACATTAAACGTACCTACAACGAAAAACACTCATATTTTTGTAATAATTGTATCGTAAGAAAAATGTTCATGTATAATATATTTAAATCTTCTAACTCTCTTACAGATCCGTACTAAGTCCTTAAAATAAAATATCCTTACATACAAATGAATATTTTAGTGTATCAGTATAATGCACTACCATTTAGAATGGTAGGGTACACCAGAAATATTGTACATTGCGTTGAATAAAATGTTTCTTTAACGTCAGTTTTTATTGATAATGGTATATTTAAATGTTCACTAACAATATCTGTGCGGGATTCACATAAAATAATTGGTACTCCTTTTTTATCATACAGGGTAGTCCGAATTATAATCGACAAACTTCGACAACACATTCTGCAGATAAAAATAAGTAAAAAAGTTCGTATAAATGTATGGCGTAAAATGCTTCGTTTTGGAGATACAAGGTGTAAAAGTTTCATTTTTATGTCGATTTTTTCCAGATAATTTCTAAAGTAACGTAGAAGTGTTTCTTGACATAAGAAATTTCATTTTGATGTCAATATGCCTCCTATTTATAGGGGGCGCTACCTACATGTGTTTTAACTATTTTGAAGAGTAATAACTTTTTGACCGTACCCGTATAAAACTACTGAGTGAAAAAATATACATTTCTGTGATTTTTTTAGTTAAAAATGTCTCTTGGTAAAAATCGCTACGAGCAACCTTTCTCAAGATATTTAGAATGGAAAGAGTCAATACCTACCTGTCATTATTGACAAAAAAATATGATAGATTTGGGAACTTTTTATTTTTTTGAATTAATCACAATCTTTTCTAAAAAAAATATAATGAAACAGTTTCCCTTGAACCTTTGGTACAAAAAATTTCAAATTTATGGTTTCAGCTTAATAACTATCTTGTCAACATGTTCAATTTTTGTCAATGATGACATGTAATGATTATTTCGATTCCAAATATCTCTCTCTCTCTATATATTAAAAGAGAGAGAGAGGTCTTTTTTCATATATTTTTTTCACTCAGTAGTTTTATACAGGTATGGACAAAAAGTTATTATTCTTCAAACCAGTAAAAAACTATGTAGGCGGCGCCCCCTACAAATAGAAATTGTATTGACATCAAAATCAAATTTCTCGTGTTAAAAAACTCCCAGACACCAATTTTCATCTAAATTATTATTCGAAAAAAATCTCATTCAAAATTTAACTTTTACCCTGTATCTCGGAAACGAAGCAATTTATAACATACATTTACAAGAACTTTTTTACTTATTTTTATCTGAAGAATATGTTGCCGAAGTCTCCCGAATACAATTCGGACCACCCTGTATATTACATCTTAATAAAAACTGACAATTCAAAAAATTTTCAAAAACGACTTTTTCATCTTATAAAAACACCATGTCCTTACGTACAAAAAATACCAGTCGCTGTATTTTTTGTAACTTGACATTGTTTCCAAAGTCTCCTACGAATTAAAATTAATAAATTAGTTGTATCTACAGGTTTTTTGTTACATTGTAACAATTTTCAATAATAAATACGATTTTTTTTCGCAAAAAATTTTCTACTTAATTTCTAAAATTTCGACATTTTCTCTTTTGAGTTACAAAACTCGCGGTTAATTTTTCGATTACACATAGTCAATTGCACGTCCCCGACCAAAAAAATGTCCGATCAATAAATTTTATTGGCTTCTTTTTAATATCCTCGTCAACTAATCAAATTGTTAAGAAATAAATACTTTGGTGTCTCCCTAAAGTAAAATCTTGTCAAAAAAGTGATTCTGTACCATTTAAGATAAATTAAATAATATATCACTCTATATAACTACGAACTATATAACTCTTCTTCACCCTTATATTTTAAAATGTTGCTTTTTTTAAGTGTCTCTTTTATTCCACAAAAATTAATATTTTTATTTTTTGGTTTTGAAATTTTTATTTTACTTTATGAAGACACCCTATATAACATTAAATATATATCTACAGAATACCTTTAGAATCCTAGGCTGATTTTACATAATATTGTATATCCGATAGCCTATAATTCTTTAAAGGATTTGTTAAATTGAGTAATATACAAGGTGTTGTCGAAAGTATGTGGGATAAAATTTCACTAAACCTTAGATTAAGTAATAATTCTAGAAAAAACGTCTTATGCATGGTGTCAGATAGAGATTGACTTTGATAAATATAAACACAATATATAATCAGTAAAATTCTGAAAATTTGGTAAAACTAATGTTAATAATAAGAAAATAAAGCTTATTTTTAAAACTTTTTGCTCTACACTTTATATTAAAAAATATACAAGTCAAAAATTATGTATGTATGGCTTTTTTTTAACACAAAACCACCATAAAGTTCTTTTCAAGAACCCCAAATTACTGCTAATAAGTTTTAGAGTATTACACAGGACGAGTCTTAAATAAGTGTAAATATTTTCAGATATCAAGAAACATATTTTCCTCTCCACTATATTTCAAATAAATCCAAAATAACCCAGTTATTCAAGTGTGGTTGTTTGAAAATTAAAAAAAAAATATATTAATTTATTTTTTTCTGTATATGCATCTCTTTTAGTGCCGTAACCATAGAGTAAAGCCCTAACCATGGTAATATCAGAGATTAAGAAATTATACCTTGTGAAAAAAGGTGAATGAAATGCGGTGAACAAGCAGTTCGAAAAAATTTTCTAAAATATACAGAAAAATTCAGAAGAAAATGCACGATTTTCATCTTTTTTGCGAAAAAAACTCATAGACGTGTTCCTGGGGTCGAAATATACCACCCCTGAAAATATTTGCACTTTTTTAAGACTCCTCTTGTATAAGAGTCTTTATAGTCAATAGTTCTGTGCAAAATATTGTTTTATTTTTATATATACCTACTTTTATTTATATCAATCAAGATTATTCACAAAAGAACGCCATGCATAGACTTTATTAAAATAAAAGATACCAATCTATAGTTTTTCTACCATTCAGTAATGTTGTAAGCACTTTATAATTTTTTTTGATAAAATTAATATTGATAACAACATAAATATGCTAATTTTGAAAGTACATATTATGGCCCTCTTTACATTACTATACATTTTTGAAAAACTTATAAAATGTAAAATTAATTTATTGACAATTATACTTACAGAGAGTCTCATGTAAATACCTAAACATTGGGCAATATCTCAAAAAAGAATTAGTTGTCAGACAAATGAGGTACGAGAGGTGTCTTAAATTGCAGAATTTTCAAAACCACCCTGTATCACGGAAATTAACGAAACGTTTTTTTCTTCATTTTTGTTCAACAAAACAGTAGCTCAGATTGCTAAAACCAGAATTTTTTTTTAATAATAAGAGAAAAAACAACTGTTATTTTCAAAAAAAAATGAGACACCCTGTACATTCATTATAATATCAATAAGTTGTAATTGTATTCATAAAAAATGACTGCTTGACTTAAGTTTAGTGTTTTATATACCGTGTGGTTTGTAAAAAAATAAGGTACCTAAATAATCAACGCAGTCGCAGCTGCTTTATACGTATTATTGACAACAACAATTTGAAACTTGATATCCAAAAAAATGACGTCAAATTACCTTGAAAATTACAAATCCGTTTTAACATTAACTTTGTTTAAAAAAATATTTATATTTGTGATAGTAACAGCTTTTTCAAGATAATAAAAATTATTCCACCCGGTATTTAATGATCATTAGTTTATTTTTGAGCCTCAAACTCAAAAAAAAAATTGTCCATAAATAAAATTTAATATTGGAAGTTATTATATTAAGAAATTATTAATTCTAAATAAAAAAATCTTTTAGGAACAAATATTTCTTCAAAAATTTCTTCTAAACTGAATGGTACTACTACAATCTCTTTACGTCCGTATCATAACCTCCCTTTTCTAAGCACTAGCATAAGAAAATATCACCTCGATACTTTCCCCATATCTTAGAAACAGAACACACCCCTCGATCACCTTATTTTGGCTAAACCTCGCAGGGTACTGGCGGTATTTCAGCTAAGCTAAGTTTCACGATGGTGGCCTGCTCTTTACGTCAAGCGGCCTGGGTAGCCCCGCTGTTGCAGGACACCACTGGTACCGTTTGTGAGCCCATCGTCGCCAGGGAGTTGCTCACCATCGTGCTGATGCCGCAGGCTTTCAATTCAGTGAATATTTCAGTGAAGTAGCCTGGAAAAACAAAAGCAAATTAACATTATTTTTTTATTAATTATTTTTTCATTTATTTCTTGTTAGAATAACATAAGAATTTCTGGATCAGGGAAAAGGAGACTGTCCACTAGAGACACAGACAGGGGCACAGGCATAGCAAGGAGCATAATGGTAGAATGTATGTAGAGATGGGGATTAATCACTGCGACCTTAAAGATCTATTGTGCCCTCCTTCCTTGAGTCATCACACAGTCTATAACCCCTGTTGTAGAGGGGATAGGGTATTTTCCATCCTCCTCTCTGACAACAGTTCTTCCTCCGAGGGTACACACCCTTCCAGGGTTGGAGTTTGGCCCTCCGTGCCGCCCTTCACAGTCGAGGAGCTTGCCTCCGGCTGAGGAAGGCTCTTTAACTTGGTATCTCCTTAGACCTGATACCGGTGTTGTCCTGTATCTATAATAGAGGATATGTCCCTCTTTCTCTATTGCCTCCTTGGATTTGAGGTCAATTCCTATTGTGAGGACCTGACCATGACCCTCCTCCCTCGAGTTGATGACTCACCAACTCGATGTCCTTACATTGAAGTTCTGACCCTGGATAAGGCTTAGCAGGTAGGTGGTGTCTTTCCCCTTGCTCCTCGCCAGAAAGACAGTGATGACCGTCCCTTTAGGGATGTTCTCTCCCTTCACTGCAACCAGTTCCGGCCCTTGCCAATTTTTAAGATTAGGTGCGATTTCCATCAACCAATTCGCAAATAAATTTTATTTCTTGCTGTATTAATGTGTTATCCCAGACAATCTTGCATCTGATAGGTATTTTTGATGTCAGGCTCTTTGTTTTGGATGCAGAGATTATAGAGCAATTCCTCTGTGGTTTTATAAAGAACATAATTATAAAACCACAGAGGAATTGCTCCATAATCTCTGCATCCAAAACAAAGAGCCTGACAACATCAAAAATACCTATCAGATGCAATATTGTCGTGGATAACACATTAATACAGCAAGAAATGAAATTTAAATATCTCGGTATAGAGTTATCCGGTTATGGCGATATCGAAACAGAGGTAAGACAACAAACAACAAAAGCAATGAGAGTGGCTGGATATGGAAAATATGTGACACCATATGGAAAAATAAATACATAGGTGTCGAGGTCAAATCAAGAATATACAAGGCTGTCGTCAGACCCATAATGACCTACACAGCAGAAACCAGACCGGATACAGCAAAAACAAAAAGATTCTTGGAAACAGGCGCGATGAAAATCATCCGCAAAATCACAAGTAGAAGGCTGCTAGATAGAGAACGAAGCGAGAACATAAGGCAAACATCCAAGGTGGATAGCATTAATGAATGGGTATTGAGCAGAAGACGCGAATGGAATGAACATGTAGGCCGAAGGGACGAGGGAAGAATAGTAAGGATAGCTCGAGAAAAATCACCACTGGGAAGAAGCACGAGAAGGCCAAGAAAAAGATGGTGTGATAACCTTACCATCACATCGATTGGTATATCATCATCTGTAGGCTTGATGTGAAGAATGAACAGGCAATCTACCTAATACATAATAGGTAGATGGTGTGATAACCTTACCATCACATCGATTGGTATATCATCATCTGTAGGCTTGATGTGAAGAATGAACTAGCAATCTACCTAATACAGAGTAGGAAGAAGAAGAAGAATTACTATTGCTCAGCAGGAATAAAGTACGAATTACAACAGATCTCTTGACAGGACATACAGCTGTCAAGTGCTAATAAAGAATCTGAACGTGTATCAAGAAAATATACATACTCTACCAGAACTAAAAAAGCAGAGCACATAATATGTCTTTACATTTAGAAACAGCGGCTGCTCAAAACGGGAACATCTTTGTCACAAATTGGCAGAAAATGTTTCGAAACAGTTTCTCTAAAAGTTTTGATTCCTCATCGAAACCACAATTTATGCCACCACATTGGAAACACATGTAATAAAGCCATATATAGGTTTCGAAAATGTTTCCTATTTATGGCATACCGTTTCCATTTTGTGTCAAGAAATATACACAATTATTAGAAACGTTACCTAAAATGTGTTCAAAAATGCTACTTGGGTAAGATTATACAGCGTTGTTCACCACGTACGACACGGAGTATTGTAGCTAAACGATTAGATTTTTGCAAAATGTAAGTTTTGGGTTCGTTGATGAGCTATTAGAGCTACAATTTAAAAATATTTTTACAGATACAGAGTGTCCTAAATAAATAAAAAATAGTAAAGTTGTATTTTTTTAAATGGAACACCCTGTATATTATTACAAGGTAAATTTAATTAAGGTTTTTGAAATATTTAGGTTCTTGTCAAAATACAGTAATAATTTTAATGCTTTATTTCTCTAGGCGTATTTAAGTTTTTGAAACCAAAATTGTTCTGAAGTATTTCTATTTATTAAATTTTGTGTTGCAATAATAAAAATTATACTATCTTATACAGAGTGTCTAAAAATTTATTTTAAATAGTTACTAGATTTAAACGGCAATAACTTGTTTAATCTAAATGAAACACTCTGTATATTTTATGAGAATCAGATGCACAATTTAATTGTCTGTCAAATTGTATTATACCATTTTTTACCTATTTCTTCAACTTTTCGTAAAAAATGCATTCACACACACTCTGTATGAGGTAGTATTATTTTTATTATTGCAATACAATAACTGATTAATAAATAAACTTCAGTAAATATTTAGTATTAAAAACTTCGATACCCTTGGAGAAATGAAGCCTTAAAATTTTTACTGCAATTTCACAAAATTGAAAATATTTCAAAAACAGCAAGGTTTAAATGTATTAAACCTTAATCAAATTTACCTTTAGTTTAATAGTAGAAACTAAAAATATAATAATATACAGGGTGCTCCATTAAAAAGATAACTTTGATATTTTTTATTTATTTGGGACACTCTCTATCTTGTAAAAATATTTTTAAATTGTAGCTCTAATAGTCCTTCAACGAACCCAAAACTTACAATTTGTCAAAATCTAATCGTTTAGCTACAATACTCCGTGTCGTATGTGGTGAACTACCCTGTATAAGTATAAAATGCCCTAAGAAGCTAAATGTGCTCTAGATAGACAATATGTCTAAATGATTTTTAACATTAAGCATTAAAAAATATTGTAACACAGCACTAGTGTGATCTTGAGTGCTAACGTAATATTGATGATTAGGCAATTTTCTTTATTATCAGGTGATGTAAGAAATCAAATTAACTTACCTGGTTCAGCGTTTATACGAAGCATATTGGAAGAAAGGCGATTAACGATATCTAAACATCGATCCCAGAACTTTTCCTTGGAATCTTCTACTAAAAACGGTTTGAGAGGATAGGATATTTCATTACCTAAAATAATTAAAAAAGGTTTATTTACCTGTTTATATACAGGGTGTTTCAAAACAAATGCGAAAAACTTCAGGGGGTGATTCCTTGTTCAAAATAAAGGGGAGTTTGCTTTATAAGTCAACCATTAGGGAGATATCGCGGTACAAAGATGGCGGAAAAATAATGTTTTTATTTTTTATCTTGAAAACGAAAAGAGATAGACTAATGAAATTTTATGGAAGCATTACTGTTATGAAAACACACTTTCTGGTAATTTTTTCACTTTTTTAAAATGAGTGGAAGGGGTTGAAATAAACTACCCCTATCATTCTTGTTAACGAAATTTAAAGAAAAATCTTATCAAACACATGCAAAAAAATTAATTTGGATAGCTTAGTTTGTTTAGAAACTTTTTTATCTCTTGTGTTTTTTTGATAAAACTCACTGATTTGAAATTAAAAAATAAAATGTAAAGCATTACATGTCAGGACAAAACCATTTTCTGATAAAGAATCTAGTGGGCTGCTGTAATTTTTTAGAATAAGTCTAGTCGGCCGCTGTCACTTTTTAGGATGTTTCTAATATTATTTTATTTGACATTACTTTACTGCAATAGGTTATTATCTAGATGATTATTATTATCGTTATTATCACTAGATTCTTAATCTAAAAATGTTTTTTGTCCTGACATGTAATGCTTTACATTTTATTTTTTAATTTCAAATCGGTGAGTTTTATAAAAAAAAATACAAGAGATAAAAAAGTTTCTAAACAAACTAAACTCTCCAAATTAATTTTTTTGCATGTGTTTGATAAGATTTTTCTTTAAATTTCGTTAAAAAGAATGATAGGGGTAGTTTATTTCAACCCCTTCCACTCATTTTAGAAAAGTGAAAAAATTATTAGAAAGTGTGTTTTCATAACAGTAATGCTTCCATAAAATTTCATTAGTCTATCTCTTTTCGTTTTCAAGATAAAAAATAAGTTAAATTATTTTTCCGCCATGTCTGTACCGCAATATCTCCCTAATGGTTGACTTTTGACCCAACGTTTATGAAGCAAACTACCCTTTATTTTGAACAAGGAATCACCCCCTGAAGTTTTTCGCATTTGTTTTGAAACACCCTGTATATACATCAGGAAGATAAATGCAACTTCTATCAAAAATTATTTTAGCTTCGAGACGAAATGTAGAAAATAAACTGAAATTATTTTACACATATACATAACTATGGAAGTTATATGAACTGGTAATTAAATTCTGTAATCAAGAATATGTACACAGTTACAGTTTCCTGCTAACGTTACACGTAACGATACAACTCGGTAATATGTTTATGTTTTATCAAATCTGTTTATAGGATTAATAAAGAAAACAAAAATGTAATTACTGGTTACTGGGGCATTAAAAATTTTATAACAAAGAGACGTAACACTTGACCTAAATCCAGAAATTTAGTAAATCATTAGAAATAAATCATTTGTAATTATTTCACTAATAAAATGATTCAAATATATAAATTCATATGAGAGATTATCACACAAATCCATTACCACTACAAACTTTCTTTTATACTCTAGAATAACTTTTCAACAAATTTAATAAAACCACAGCTTATTAAATACCAGCTGGTCAACTTTACTTGTTTTTTAGTAATTTTGTTTGACCTGCCGCATCTTCTCTCGTCAGCTGTCAGATGCCGATATTTTTTCGTTAATAATCGCAAAAAAAACTAGAGAAAAAATAAGTTCACTTACCCATGTATGAATAAGACAGGTATAAGCATGTCAAAACCACAGCCTGGAGATCATGCTCGCATTCAACGTCGTCTTCTACTAGTTCACGGACTAGCATGTAGACAAAGACGACATTGGCGGGATTTATGAAAGCCACATCCTGAAAATAAAAGTAAAATATTAATTTAAACTTTTCACAAGCAATTCATATTTTAATACTACGTATAGAGCAACAATATTTTTAGTCGACCATACCAACACGTATGGTAGGCTATTAAGATCGACAATTTTTTTTTTAATTTCACTCAAAATGAGTTATTTGGGTCATAAATGACCTAAATACAAAAGATTTTCATGGTGCCTGTCTGTCTGTCTGTATGTCTGTCCGTCTGTAAAGCCGCGTCCAAGCTACTCGAACAAAATGTTCGCGAACATATATAATTAAACAGATACTAAGTGAAAATTGTGAGATAGGTAGATTTATAAATAATAAAGCCAACAAGTACAGCTAGCTTAGGCCTATTAAGCCGGGTCCACATATGTAGCATCTTGGTGTATCATATCTCCGTCGCGTTGCACCAACATGTTTCATGATCGCTAGTTTGGACGCCGAATTAACGCGATCATATGGTACACCTTTGTGATACCGTATCTGATACATGCCAATCCGAATTTTGGCGCGTATCTTAACACTGCGTATCGGATACACGTATCACGATCTGTCATTTGGACGTGTTTTGATACAGTATTCGACAATGGGAGACGCAGTTATTGACTGGGATCGTGAAAACATTTACATCTAATCTGTTTACACAAAGAAAAGATTTTATAATTTTAATTTTATTGTGGGTTGAGTGTGAATAGCGATGTAGCTAGACTTCGTCCATATAATTTCATTTTTGTTAATAAAGACCTTTATGATTATTTTTATTAAAAACCGGAATTATTATGGTATTCTGAAATTAAAAATTACTACTTAATAGGAAGTTTGACACCGGAAATGAAATTTTACCATTACATTTTTAGAAATAAATATACCGGGTGTTTCTGAAAAGTGGTTCACTTCTATAATTTTTTAGATAAAAAACGAGATTTGGTATGTTAGTATAGGACAAAAATCAGGATTGATCGACGTTTTCATTTATTTTCGGTCACTACCTATTTCACCGGAAATGACAAACTTTTGATTTAAATGGTACCCTCGGTATTTTTTTACCGTATATGATAGAAAATGACATTCTAAATAGAATGATATATTATATGTCAACTTTTGACATTTTCAATTTAAAAATGGCCATAAATAAACGTAACGACAATTTTACTCCAAATACCAAGTATATGGTACCAAATTATTCGTAAAAAATGCTTTTTCCAAATATGCTGAGCCAGCCTCGTACCATTTGAAAAATTTGAGTTATCATTAAAAATACGATATGGGCATCTTTTAAGCGGCCATGAAAGGACACGAAAAAATTTTACACGATCAAATATATGTTTCCAAAGTTTGATTACAAATTAATAGTTTTAACTCAGTCTTGGCACTCTAGATTGAAATTTAAAATGCTATTTTTATTTAATTCGAATTGTCTATAATTGACGTATTGTATGTCATTCTATTCAGAATGTCATTTTCTATCAAATAAAGTAAAAAAAGTACTTAGGAACTTTAAAACAGGAAGCGACCGAAGGTAATTGAATACGTCAATCAATCCCGATTTATGTCATATACTAACAAACCAAATTTCGTTGTATTATCTGAAAAAATGAAAAAGTAAAAAAGTGAGCCTTTTTGAGAAACACCTGGTAGAATCGGCTGAAAATGAATACAGGTCTTAAAAATACACTATAACGAATAATCACAACCAAACCAAGACCCCTGTAACCCTCCGCCTGCTAAATATTGATTCTTCAACGACAAAAGTTCTTAAACTGTTTACCGGTTAATTTATTTAATAAAATGCTTGCACTCGAAATCCGGGTACTCGAAAAAACAGCGACTACCTAAACGCATCCTAGATCTATAGAGCAAACTGGTTGTCGCATTCTTCCCCGCACCTCAGTCCTCCGGACCGATGCGACGGACTGTGCCGTCGTTTACGACCTGCTGCTACGAGTATATGGTATGAATTATATATGTTCGCGAACGTTTTGTTCGAGTAGTTTGGACGCGGCTTAACACGATAACTTAAAACCGCTAAACCGATTTTAACCAAATTTGGCAAAAAATACTGTAGCTAGCGAAACGCGGTTTTCAATTTAAGATTAGGAATAATATTTGCAATAAAATTTGTAATAACATCAAAATCAGTCAAAGTCGCAGTTTTTGAGATATTCCGTGTTTCCGTAGTCCGTTTTTGAGAAAATCCGTGTGGAGAACTCCAAACTCCCATCGGACGCGACCCCAGGTGGTGGATAGGGGAAATAACCGCGGACGAAAATTGGAAAAACTCCTTTTGAAACTAAAAGAACTGCCTACCAACTTTTTATTAACATATTTTAGTATGGGCGGCTATTCGTGCCTCTCGACGCCAATTTTTATTATTAATGTTGGTATTATTTGTGATAATAATTCGCTAATAGTAGTTTTTGGTTTTACAGATGTATTTTCTTTTTCTATCTTTCATCTCTGTGGTTAGTTTTAAAACTTATTCTATACTAATTAAACTAGGTATAAAAGAAATAATTAATTGATAATTTTAAGAATGATAAAAAATTGGAAGTTGCCTTGAACTCTTGTTGTATTGTTCATATGTTTTTTACTATATAGAGCACTACAAAAAAATTATAATACATTTCTATTTCATCGCTTATAACCTTGTGCACACGCCACATAACCTGTTGTTATTTAATTATCTTAATGTTAACTTCATCAAAAAAGGTATATTAGTTACATAATGAAATAAAAGGGCATGTTTACTTAAAATATAAATAGGTAAAAAACCATTTTCATTTTTGCAATTACTTTAATAGACATTAATATTAAGTAATGTTTTTGTTCGAGATAATGTCTTTTTTTGTGTATTATTGTTTGTTATATTTTTATTAATAAATATTGTTTTCTGATGATATTACAACTCATTTTAGTTATGAACTAACCGTCTCAATCGATTTCTTGTTGAATAATAAGCGATAGAAAATAGAAACTTTATTATAGATCTCGCATTTTTTTGTCGATGAGTCGCTTTTAACATTTGATGTAAAGTCTATGGTCAAAAACTTAATATGAAATATAGAAAATATGAGCAGTTGTCTAATATTAGTAAGTTAATCCTCATAAGGGTAACTGTTTTATGATTAATTTTCAAAATTGTCAAAAATACATCTTATAGGTTTTTTTTATAATATTAGCTAGTAATTAGCTATTAAGAGAAATATTCTGAAGTATTATTCTTGAATTAAAAAAACTAAAAAATATTTATTCTTCTCTTTTTCCAACAACAGCATACGTGAATAAATATTTCTGAAGCAGTGAAACTGTTTTTAATTTGTTTTTATTTATATAGTTTCTTATTTATATTTTAAATAAGAAACTATATATATATATATTTTTTTTTCTTGATATAGTTTTATATAATTTTTATTAGTTATACTTTAACTTTTCACCGTAAAATTAAAAACTAGTTTAAAAAAATGTGAAGATTCTTAAACATTCACATATAAAAGTGAAAAGAAAATATTAATTACAAAATACCGCATCTGTCAAGAAAACGTTTCGTTTTTATAATAGCCAGGAGATATCTTTCTAATAATGTGCTGATATTTTCAGACATCGTTGAAAATGGGATGTCGTGTTATGTTTGTCATTTTAGAAATTCAATTTCAGCACCCCCGACTGGATAAAAGCCAATAGCAATAAAATCGGTAGTAAACCGTGGCTGCGTTACCTCAAAATAAAAAGAAAAGTATTTATTTTCTGTTATTCTTAAAATATTCAATACCTTATATACTTTATATTCGAAATTAAATAAAATATTAATCAAACGCAAAATAAAATAGGTATATGGCTATTTTCCTGCAAAACTACTTAGATTTCAAAATAATTGATGAGAACTCATTATTTATTATAAATATATATTTCTTAACTAGTAGTACTTTGTAGTAAGTACATTCTAAAACACAAGCTTTTTAATTTCTCATTTAATTTTTTGCTGAATTTTTTTAGAACTACATAATTTAATTACAATTAAAGTTATCCAGTTTTATGTTATTTTTCAGATTTATTTTATTTATTGGAGCGGAAAAATTAAAGCAATACATCTACAAGCTTTCATCATTTTATAAATTTATTTCTTAAAAATGCATTACATCTTTGACAGAAAACTTGAAAAAAGTAATAGTTTGGGAATCTCATAGCAAGAATCGCCAATTTAAAAAACAACATAAAAAAACAATTAAAATAAGTAGATAAGGATTATTCTTAATAGCCACAAACATTTTAATGTTCTTTTTAATAAATGAAAAATAATATTTTTTAATTATATTACAGTAACATTTAAAATTGAAATTAAATTAATTAAATTTTTATTCATTAATTTTTTTTCTCATTCTCTAAAATATTTTTCTTTCTAACAAAAAGGGTTGGATTGTTATTTTAACCTTTTTCATTCAAGGCCAACGCCAGTAATTTGTCTGTGGTGTTTATCATGAATATCACTTTTAGTTAATGAAATTGAACTGAAAAAAAACTATCTATAAATCATCACAATAAAAAACATAAGCTACATTATTGCAATAATTTTTCTAGCTTTCATATTTATACAGATGGAAAAGATTTAGGTCAACCTAATATGGGACATATTTCTAGATTTTCGAGATATAAATACGTCTAATGGGCCTGAAAACATGGGCTATATAAAGTTTCCTACAACTCATGCTACGAAAAGCACTCTATAAGTGGAACACGATATAATAATATTGATAAAAGTGACCTAGTATAAAAGTAAATATAATTAATAAAGACAAGAAATAGATTTTGTAATTCTTAACTACTTTTTTTTAAACGTCACAAAAATGATTGACTACATAAAAAAGTTATTTTAACGTCTAGGCATAAAAGTAAAGCACTAAACTGATGTAAAGTGTCAAATTCAAGGAGCGTAACTATGCTCTTTGCCTGATATGCCTATAATTATGTCCTTTGCCTGAATGACATTTTAAATC